ACATCACATAATTTTGTATTTTAACTGACAAGTTTCGGTCCAATTGTTTGGTCATAAATGTTAAACAAATTTAGACTACGGATTTCTCCTGTGTACCTGATTACAATGCAAAGTGCTCCGAACTTTATGGAACTCGGCTATTTTTCGTTGCATTCCTTTTTTTCATTTTATCATATTTACTAGGGGAGGTAAATGCAAAATTTACGACATTACCTCCCCCTGGTAAATTCAAAATTTACAACATGATCATTTATTTGAACTTAGGAGGGGGCATAGGCTTCTCTGTAAAAAAAAAATAACAGTTAAAGTCACGAAGAAAACTAGTAGATTCACTGTCCATACAATCACTACCTTAATAGTAGTTTTACCAGATATTGGTATATTTACTAGATAAGATTAGTAAAAATTTATGAGTAACTTTCACTAGGTATCTAAGTATCTATACGACCCCCGCTCCACAACTCACTATCTTAACCATTAAACCGAAAGTTTACTAATCACGACCAACGCTTTATGAAACACACTAGTTAAATTCACTAGGTTTTTCTTTCAGTGTTAGAATACAGAACCTAGCCTATACTAATTTAAGCTATGCCCACGGGCAGGTAACGTTTTCAACATCTCTGTTCATTAATAAAACAATCTCGATCTACAGTAATTCTGGAAGAGAATTCTACACACATACGCCATCTGGTAAAGGGACTTTTGATAAACCAAGGTTATTTGTGTAGTGAACCAGGAACAGTATGATGTTTTCCCTGCACTCTCAGTGCCCATCGAAATTCCAACAGATTGTTGGAGAAGCTGGTCTGACCAGAGACTACATGTACATAGATGTCGATATCGATAAGGAATTCCATATCCCTTTAAAATCATTTTCTAGGTACTGGTGTGTAGAATCAAAACGATTTTCATCGTTTACGAAGTAAAATTGTTGTTTTGATTTTCTTTGTTTACGAAGTAAAATTGTTGATGACTAATCCCAGGACAGGCGCATACTATCGTTTTTGACAGTGTGGGTTGGGGGGTGGCACACAAAAATCAACTCATCCAATCTAATTAAAATTAGATCTTTGATCCGCTCCAGTTTGATCGCTACACAAAGATCTAATTTTAATTAGATTGCAACTCATCTGGAAAAACTTTGATAAGCAAAAAGAAATCCCTAAACTCCTCCATCCAAAATGTATTTCTTGGGGATGGGGGGTAAGTCGAATAAATTAGCTGGAGAAATCCCTGATTAGGTTCCAACATTTTTGAACACCCCACCCCCTCTCATTGGCGTCGGAAGCAAATTGAAAGTGGGGGGGGGGGGGCTAGGTGAAAAAAAAAAATTTTATACCTTCGAAAAAACCTGACAAGCAAAAAAAAAGGGGGGAAGTGTCCATTTCCCAAACACGAAAATCACGAAAAATATATTTGAAAAGAAGGAAGGGGGGCTAAGCCCCCCTTGCCCCCCGGTTCCGACGCCTATGCCCTCTGTTGCTACGTCCGGGCAGTCCTTACAAGATATAAACGATTTTTAAAAAAAGTCTATGATATCAAAACATGAAGTTTTAAAACGCTATATGTTTAATGTGACTGACTTTTTAAAAAAAGACTCGATTTTTTTTATTTTTCAAAAGGTCTTTAGGAACTTTGAAAATTCACATTTGATTTGTAAACGTCGCTTCAAGAAAATGTTGTAGCGATAACAGAGGCGATGTTGTAACTCACCCAGCCACCCTCACCACCACCACCTACGGAAGCCCGTTGGTGCCACGTACGAAAATATTTTATCTGGCGGCCGCCACTTATTATTTGGCGGCCGCCACTTGTATATCTGGCGGTCAAAACAAATAATATATGTGGCGGTCGCCACTTATTATTTGGCGGCCGCCACTTATATATCTGGCGGCCGCCAAATAATTTATCTGGCGGCCGCCACATATTTTTCTGGCGGCCGCTATATAATATCTGGCGGCCGCCACATAATTTATCTGGCGGCCGCTATATAACATCTGGCGGCCGCCACTTATTATTTGGCGGCCGCCAAAAATTTATCCGGCGGCCGCCACTTATATATCTGGCGGCCGCTACATAATATTTGACGGCCACACATAATTTATATGGCGGCCGCCAGATAACACCTGGCTTCCTGATGCGCGCTCATGTTTTAATGTGTGGTTTAAGAGGTGGATACAGTGTAAAAATTATAATAGCAACATCAATCAACCAAACTTGTAAGAGATTTATTATGAACCAACACTCCAATCCACACTTCTCATAGATATCTTTTTGCATAGAGCAGATTAATATTTGATTTGAATTATGCAAGTATTTGTAGTGTTTGGATTATTAAGAAGCCTCATCAGGGGTCACGGACATGAATCATGGTGTTTGCTGTAATCTATGATTGGTTGAGAATTAAATAAAGTATTGCATTTTGGATTTCCAAGAATGGTGTTCCAATATTTTAGAATTCGTTTTTATCATTTACTTTTTTATCAATAAGCAGCGGTTGTGTCAACATCCATCTTCTTAACCCAATAACACTCACCTTTTGCAAAATAATTTATGTGGCGGCCGCCAAATAATAAATGGCGGCCGCCAGATATATATTTGGCGGCCGCCAAATAATAAGTAGCGGCCGCCAGATATATATGTGGCGGCCGCCAAATAATAAGTGGCGGCCGCCAGATATATATGTGGCGGCCGCCAAATAATAAGTGGCGGCAGCCAGATAAAATATTTTTCGTAAGTGGCACCAACGGGCTTCCGTAACCATCAACCAAGCTCAGGAGAATTTTATTAGACACAAAATCTTACAAAAATACATTAATTACTAGTCTATCATACCCATTTTATTTCAATACATGTTATAAATTTCCGCTTTTGTTAAGTTTTAGAAATTGGCCCTTTACGTTATATTCAAGTCATTTATTGACAAAACCATCACATTGGCGTCGGAAGCAAATTAAAAGTGGGGGGGGGGGGCTAAGTGTAAAGAAATTTTTTTATACCTTTAAAAGAAATGACAAGCAAAAAAAAAAGAAGGGAAATTCCAATTTCTCAAACACGAAAATCCTATTTCGGGGGGGGGGGGGGGGGGGTTACATGTAGGTTCGAACTTCATACCAAATTCTTTTCTAAACACCACCACTTTCCCTATCTTTAACCTATACTGCGACATGTCTGTGGAAAGTTCATATAAATACGAAGCAATGTTCAATGTCTATACTAAGTATATATTTGGAGAAAAAGTGGGGGGCTAAGCCCCCCCCCCCAGCCCCCCACCCCGGTTCCGACGCCTATGCATCATAGACTGGCATATAGTCATATATATATACTAGGGAAATTTTCAATGTTGATACAAAATAACCAATAAGATAAAATTTATGCAAGATCAGCCAGAGTTCAGGTAGATGTTGATTTGCAATTAAAGTCACATCCGGTCAAAATTAGCTGCAGAACTGTAGCTCTCCGAAAAAAAATGTTTTGTCAGACCGGAGAGCTACAGTGACTGTGCCACCCATTGAAAAAACTATATTCATTGCGCACAAAAAATGCACTGTTTCTCGTTTTTTTTCTCCATGTTTTTCAAATTGTCATCTCAAAATATTACTAACCGTATGATCCTAACATATTCTTCGACTGTTTCCACAACAAAACATTCCTTATAAGTGTTGTTAACAGCCCGCCTGGACCTGAAATTGATATGTTCGAAAAATTCGTCTATTTATACTGCCATTATTGTTTGCAAGATAATGTTTGGGCTAACGCGTTTCGTGCAGATGTCAACTGCGAGAGTACTTGATAATTGAATTTAGCTTCTTGCAATTGAGGTAAGAATTTGAAAGAATTAATACACAACTATACGCAAAATTTTGTGCGCGATAAATATACAGTTTTGTCAATGGGTGGTACTGTGGCTATTCAGTTTGTCAATGTATTTCTTTTTCGGAAAGCAATACAGTTCTGCAGCTAGGTCAAAACAAATTATTTGTCCTAAATTCGAGTTGTATACCGTAAAGGGTCAATCACTAAGCAATGTACAATTTCAAATGTATGCTCTTTAATATTGGTCAAAGAAACTACTGATGTATGATAGGTTAGAAATCCATTTATTTTTCAAAATAAATTAATTGTTTCATAAAAATACCTTGAAGCTTTTGGTTTTTTTTTTTCTTTTGTTATTTGAATGATATCAAAAATAGATTTCATCACCTAGAGTTTCAGAATTTCTTCTGCTACAACAAGGGGTGTCATTGATAAGAATTGCACATCTTACCAAATTATCATCTCTGAGACTCATCAATGTCTTTCTGATCTTTTTTTATTATTATTTTCAAATGTACATGTATAAATAAATTAAGACTACGATAAGAGGAAAATAAATAAATGATAATAAGGGACCAGGCAAAATTTATCACAATGATGGGACCAGTACAAAACAAAATCCTCATTTTGAAAAAGTACGTGTCCCATGGCTTTGGTTTTTAAAAAAAATATCTGTCCCATGCCTTGAGACTTATAAAAAAAAGTTATTGTCCCATGGTTACATCTTGGTGTTAGTGAGATAACTGGAACAAAACTAAGGAGTCTCTCATTCTACAGATATTTCAAACATCGAAAAAAAATGTTGTTTTTTTTTCTTTGTTCATCTTCATATGTTGTAATATTTTCCTTAAAAGATTTGTGTTGCCATTTGTATCCTTTACTTCAGTTTCAAAGATGTGATTTTTTTCTCGATTTTTTGAAAACTAAAATGAATATTTCACTTGGGTTAAGTACTGTGTCATTGAAAAAAAAGGTTGTAACCCGTGGGTACTTAATGCTAAAAATGTTTTTGTCCCATGGTTTTATTCGATGAAAAAACTCTTTGTCCCATGCCCGATTGTACCGGTCCCATCATTGTGATAAATTTTGCCTGGTCCCTAATATTGAAAAACATTTTTGGGCATCGGGCTCGAGCTTCTTTTTCTATTATTTCCGGATTTCCCCTTCTTTCTAAAATAGCTCAACGTCGAAAAAGGGCCAATCAGATTGCAAAACCGCAGGGCGACACGTGTATTGTCCCTTGGGCTACGAATTCATCAAATTGTCTTATCTCCGAATTGCCACGTTGAACAATAGCCGTATATATCCGTTTATACACCTGTCATCACATCCTTTCCGAAACCCTCACAAGATGGCGAATTTAACGTTCCTATGCATTGCAAGCTTTTTAGTTGTCCTCGTTGCTACAGAGGAAGGGGAACTGAAAATAGATGTTTTGAAGACTGTAGATGATTGCCAAAAGAAAAGCAAGCGACTGGATATGCTTAGCATGCATTACGTAGGGACATTAGAAGATGGCTCCAAATTTGACTCCAGGTGAGAACCTTTACATACGTGTACACCCGTATGTGTATATATGCAACATTTATGAGTGTGCACCTGAGGTTGAAGGTTACAAGGTTTACTAACAAACAGCTGACATCTACGAAAAAGAAATAAGGTAGATCTATTTAACAAGACACATCAAGAAAGACACGTGTAACTTTTTTAATGGATCATGGTTCATAAAGAACTAACATATGCACACATCTAATTCTAAGTGGAAATCAACCATGGAGCAATAACGAATGGCATAAATAATTACTCCTTCTTTATTCAATTTATACATAAGGGAATAAAACTTTGTGTATAATAATAAGCTTCTATATACATTTTAATATAAAGTGCATCTGACAGTCTGGTAGTATTATATTGCCAGTATTGTATATCCTTTTTGTCAGCGAAGCTCATGGTAGACTGTTTGTATTCCAACTAGGACTTGGGCAGTTAGGCATGAGGTAGGTTAGACATATATGTAAGGGAGCAGGGGGCAAGAGGGAGTGTCCTGGGTAAATGGTCCTAGAGATGTTTGCTGAACATTCTGAATGAAAAAAAGTAGTATTCCTTATAGAAGCATACATGTACATCACAATGAACATACCTGTAGACAATAGTGTTTTGAAAGTGGTCAGTCATTAATTTGAAAAAAAATAATTTATTACGTGTATTATCCCGTGGTTTGTCTTTTGTTCAAGAATAATGTTTTAGCAATTAATGGAAATTAAATGAAAGCTTCATAATTCTAACATTTTATTTTAATTTAACAATTTTACCTTTTCCTTAAGGATTTGTTACTTTTTTTATTTATAGAGCAGTTAAGTTTTGTATCATGAAAAACCATCTTAATGATATTTTTACTTAATACTGTATGTTCTATTGAAATTTTTTCTACAGTGCTGACCATGGACAGCCTTTTTCTTTCCAACTGGGTATTGGACAGGTCATAAAAGGTTGGGACCAGGGGCTGCTGGACATGTGTATCGGAGAAAAGAGAAAGCTGACCATTCCCTCTCACCTCGGGTATGGTGACCAGGGAGCAGGTGAGCTGTGATTACTTATCTATTTACCTTAACCTGCATCAGGTAAAATATTGTGTATATTACATAAATTATTCTTACTAGGTGTCTACATAAATAATAATATTCATTTGAACCTGACTCTCTGTATCAGGTATCTTGTGGCATATAGCACTTAAATTATCCTCAGTAAATGCATTGTCATGGTAACAACTACTAAATGCAGATCTCTAGTTATATAAAAATTACCTAAAATGAAAAAAATGGGCTTGTACCTATGTGCATGCATGAATTTTTTTAAGTATTGATTAATTAATTAGGGCATAGTCTATAATTAACAAAAGCGCATATTTGAATATTATGGTAAATAAATCAACATAACAAACTCTAGATCTTTTGCTATTCATTTCCTCAATGGCTGCGAATAAATATGTGGTATGCATACTAATTAGGTTAAAAGATTTACTAAGGTCACAGACAGGAATATCAATTATTAATTTTCCTGATCAATATGAAGCTTCTAGGTAAATTTTATAATTTCAGGATGTTTAAAATATTTTACATACTAAGATGTTGTCCCTGGTTTTTTATAGGAGAGAAAATCCCCCCAAAGGCCACCCTTATTTTCGAGGTAGAACTTCTAGATATTCAAGATGGACCTAAACCTGAGAACATCTTTAAAAAGATTGACACAGATGAAGACAACAGGCTCTCTAGGGAAGAGGTCAGTCATAGTCATAAATTCTCAGCTCACTCACAGGTGAAAGGATGTAGGTTAAAGGGGTTCTCCTTCACAATTTAATCGGAAAGATACCTATCACAATATTAACTTGAAGCTACTAATTCTGTCTCTGAGTTTTCTGTCATGGTGAAAATACTTTTACCTCTAAAATTGTTCCATACACTTTTCCACATTATCACTTTGTTTTGTAATATTATGGATTTGCGAATATGTGTTAATAGGTCATTAATTTTTTTTCACTGAAGAAATGGTGATTTTTAGTTGGATAGAGGTAGTAAGAGTTAATGTTCTTACTCATACTTCACAGTCCTATTCTGTACCAACTGTCTGATCTTTAACATGTATGGATCTAGTACTTGTATGTAGTTGTTGGATTTTTTTTTTCTTCTTTGTGGTGGACTCAACTAGAGTAGAGGTAGACATTTGAAATATTCAATGTTTTTGGTAAATGACATTGTCTAGATGCCGCATCTGACTGTAAGCTGACTTTGTATTGCAGATCTCAGATTTTATAGTTAAACAAAGCGAGCAGTCCGGACAGAAAATAGACCCTGCTGCCAAGGAGCACACTGACGTCGTAGAAAACATTTTCCAGCACGAAGATAAAGACAAAGATGGCCACATCTCCCACGATGAATTTAGCGGACCCAAACATGATGAATTATAAATTTACAATTGTAGGCACACAATTTCAGGTTTTGCTAGCACTGCACAGGCATTTTATTCACATTTAAGTTTTAGTTGGCTCTTGAAAGTCATGCAACCTTAAAAAAAATTGTTTCTGAAAAGTTCTCTGTAATTTTATTTTGTTTGAATTAAGATATAAACTAACCTTCAGATGCTTTTGTCTTGCATGACTTTAAAGATCCAGTGGTTAATGTTTTTGTTTTCAGCTTGCCTATAGACTTGATCACTAACATTCTCACAGTTTTAGAAATTACCTGCTTTGCTCCATGAAGTTTTTTTTTTCCTTTTTTTTTTTTTTGCTTCACATTTTATTAATGTTGCATACACACATTATAAATAACCTTTTTATTCCCCTTTTATTAAAAATCATTCATTTCAATTTTTTTTTTTCAAAACTATACTTTTAATACCATGCTATTATTGCATATTATTCTATATCTTATTATATCCTTACATTTGATTGGATAGATCTATATGACAGAAATAGCTTGAAACAGCTTGAAATTAAAAGGTTGACTAAATACCACACTGCATGATCTAATTCATTTTGATCACTGAGTTTACTGCATCTTCACTAAAAAATGGACTCAAGGTATTGATAGTCCTGCATGCTCATTTAAATATAGTCATAGCTAATTAACTGCATTTTTAACTGGGGAAAAATTTATTTGTGGCATGCAAAAAATACTTACCAGTAGTTAGTCAGTGCATTATTAGTCATTTCTTACGTTGCACATTAATAAGTTTGCCATATTAACCAGGATAAAAACATTTTTTATTTATGTATTAAATTTTAAATCATAAGAATTTTAAATATTTTAAAAACACAAAAAATTGAAGATAAATAAAAGCATAAGAAGATGAATTGTGATTTAAGAGAAAGAACAGATGAAGACAAAAAAAAATTACCTGGTAAACAAAATTTTGTTCAATATAAATCTGTCTAAGTATGGTTATTTATTTGCTCTTGCAGGTCTCTGAGTTTATTTTACAAGAATTAAAAACAGCATTCAAAAGTGATAACGTAGATACAAACAATGGACAGCACAAAGACCTCCTGGAAAGTGTTTTTGAGAAAGAAGACCAGGATAACGATGGCTTTATTTCTAAAGATGAATTTACAGGCCCCAAACATGATGAACTCTGAATGTTATCTAATAGGAATAGGAAACAGAATATCTGTAGATATAGAATTTAAATTATCAATAACTGTATTTTAAATTAACAGTATGTGTTTAATTTAGATTTACAGTTGTTGCTGTTTATTTTGCCAATTTCAGAAAGTGATAAGACCAAAAATTTGACAACTTTGGGTTGGAAAAAAAGCTAAAAATAGCCAGCAAATGGAAAGGGGGAACTGGGAAATTAAATTTGTCCAGAAGAGAATATTCTATGTAAACTCTGCACAAATAATTGTAAACAGTCAATTCTCTATGTCTGAAGTTTCAAGTTTTGATGTGAAAATGTTCTCCAGTTTTCAAAATTTACAATTTGTTGAAATTTAGCTATGTAATTTCTCCAAGAGTATTAAATCTTCAAGCTGTATGAAGTTTAGATAAACAATTTTTAATTTTCACATTTTCTGCAATCCATACTTTTTCTTCAAACAGATGGAGAAATTCTTGGTGATACCTTTTTTTTCCAGACAGATCATTGGTAGCTAGTCATTTGACGGAGAAGAATTATTTGTTTATTGGTGCTGGGCTTTAGTTTTTGTATCTTCTTAAAAGTATTGTGTCAGTTTCTCAATAAATAAATGTTTTCATACTGGCTAAAGCTTGTATTTGGCCTATTATGACAGATTTCGGCACATCTTGTGGATTTATCCCGTCAAACCTATGGATTTCCAGTGGACAATAAAAGTGAAGAACACATTAAGGTGGTGGATGGTATTTTTTACTGGGAAGATTCTAACAAGGATGGGTTTATAACTCATGCCGAATTCACAGGACCAAAGCACGACGAACTTTGATATTCCAAATATTTTATTTTTATGGAATTTGTCATATACTTCCCAGCTGCCCATTTATGTCATACCAAATTCATTCCACCATTATTATTATTATTATTATTGCATTTGTTTTTATTTATTTTATATAAATATTAGATGAAACATGTTGTTTTATTAAAAAAAAAATTCAATTATTTTTAATTCAGTTGTATTGAATTCTGGTTATCTAATTTTCTTAAGATTCCTTTGCCAAAAATTAACTAAGATATCAAAGACGCCTGCATTCACTTTAATCATGGTTTTGTTCACACTTTAATTCTTTCAGAGAATATTTAAAATTATTTTATTAGTACATGTACACTAATTTATCAAATTTTATTGATTGTTAAGAGAAAGATGGAATTTTCTTCAAGCAAAGACTAAATTTAATGGTATGACTGAGCATGTTTTGTAAACAAGTCATATTTGTAATAAGTCAGTGTGCTTTATTTTAGAAGTGCTTGTTAATATGTGTTGAATGTTTGTAAGAGTTATTAAAAGACAATAACAACTTGTAAATATTGTTGTTCTTGCTTTTAAGTAACGTTGAATCGACACTTTTCAAAAGTTATGTCCCTTGGCCGCCATCTTTGGGGAAAACCCAGAGAATCTTCACAATTGCCTTTGTGGTTTTTCGGTTTTGTAACTCTGTCATCTGTCTGGAAAAATTCTATGCATCTTCTATAATGGTTTCCCCAAGATGGGGCTACCCATATACACTTAACAAAACTTCTAAGTGTTCACTCTAATAAATGTATTTATTCAAAAACTACTTTATAGAATGGTATGATATTTTCAACAAATATGAGTCTTCTCCACAATTTTTGAAAGAAAATCAAATATCATCGATGATACCATGACCCTGGCATTTGCTGAAACTATTGTAAAACCCGACATGAAATAGGAACTGGTGCAAAAAACGTGGACAAACATTTACTCACCATCGGAAGACACGTTACTCTAAACTAAGGGTAGAATAATCTTAGAATAACATTTCAGTCTGTCTCCATTAGAGAAGCATTTTGAGAGGAATGATATCGATCGAGCCATTTTGACAAAGTTATGCACCTTGGACTTAGAAAAATTCCAATTATTTGGGGGGTTAGTGTTTTACAAACATTTTTTGTTTCGTTTTATCCTACAAATGTATTCATGTACTTCTGTGATTCCTTTGTTTAATAATACTCAGTTGACCTTTAAGGCCCATAGGCCTCCTGTCTAATAAATGCATGTATGATATATATATACATATATTTTCTAAGAGTAAGGATATATTTCACTCAATGTTTTGGTAGTTTTATTCCAATTAAAAATATTTAGAGCTAATTGTGTTGGAATGCTTGCAAAGAATTCCTCTCTCTATATATACTATTCTCTATTGAGAAATTGAATGCAAAAAAAAGTTACATGTATGTAATAAGGATTAATTTTGATGTCCAGGAATGTCATCAAATGCAAATGTACTGCAACAACATTGAAGAAAAAATTATCAATCATTTTAGAAAAATTGCAAGTTCTAATAACTTCTTAGTTGATAAATGCATGTCACTCTGATTGGGTACAAATGTAGTTAGAGCAAATTAGAATATTGGTGCCAACATAAACTTGACAAGGTCTCCCAACAAATTGTTTTCGCATTTAAATATCAAACAAAAAAGACAATACATTGTTTATAAGAGTTTAATAAATAAATATCAACAAAAAGTACAAAATGTTGGTTTTTATAGCTCGTCCGAATTCTTTTTCTTCTTCATGGCGTTCGCTCCCATTTTGGACATGTGCGTGAATTCTGATGGGTCGAGCTGGCCATCACGGTTCTTATCAGACATTGTGAACAGGGTCTGTATCATCATTAAACGCATGCTATCGTCCATTTTCACTGGCATCATTTTCTGGAACTGCTCTCCGCTTACCACCTCTTCGATCTGAAGAACAAAATCAAAACTCAAAAAGAGGCATCATAACCTGTACATTTAGCAGGAAAATTCATTGTTACTCCTAGGATTGACTAAATTTTATCAAATAGGTCTTCTCATACCTCTTTAAAGTCTAGACCTCCATCTTTGTTAACGTCCATTCTATGGAATTGGTCAATGACGTCAAACTGGTCCTTAACTGTCAGCACTTCAATTTCTAAAATGACAGTGGCTCCACCTGGCACATCACCTTCAATGATAAATTATAAAAAGTTGTTACATTCTAAAAATACTAAATGTCATTAATTCTTTTTAAGAAATGTCTAAATATATTTATAACATTGTTGTTTCCTTACCAGACCCCTTGGACCCATATGCCAAAGCAGGGGGTATTGTAACGCGTCTTTTCTCTCCCTCACACATTCCGTCCACGCCCTGTTCTATGCCTTTGATTATTTGTCCCGATCCCATCGCAAATGAAATGGGTTCTCTCTCATAACTAAAAACAAAAAAAAAGTTCTCAAAAATTTTTAAAATTAAAAAAAATAAATAAAGAAATTAGAAAAATTAAAGAAAATGTATGTATACATGTACATGTAATTGTTTTTTAAAACATTTCTTTTAAGGTAGAAAAACTACGATTAGTAAATTGCTAGCCTTGTTTCCAGTGAAATAAAGGTCTTTGCAAATAATTGTTGAATTCACGATCAATAGTGTTTCTATATTGACGTACCTGTTAAAGAATTCAGTTCCATTTTCCAGAGTTCCTTTAAAATGAATTTGTACCAGGTTCCCGTCTTTGGCTTTTTTCTCACAGTCGCCGGGAGGGGGGACAATGGTGTATATTTCTACTTTCTTTGGTGATGGACTTCCATCTTTACAGAACACAAGCACAAAAACACAACAAAGACCCAGTAAGAGCTTGGCTAGCTTAGTGAGAGACATCTTTGGATAAATAAACATTAATGGGCGAATCTTATCGTTTATAAGATACGAATATTCAAAAGGGAAGGAAGCTAGAGGTTTTGATGAATTATCTTTTGTAGTACCCGAGCTACCCCCGGCATGACACGTACACCGTATTGCTAGCCGCGGGGGAGAGTTGCTTCACATTACAGCACTCGTTCTACCATCGCCTTCTTCCCTGTATCGCACACCTTTACTTACATTGACGGTCACCGATTGTCACCTTAAACTTTTAAGGTCACGAGTATCTAAAAATGTATGTATGAAGTAACATATATTCTCAAAAATTGGCTGTCGTTTTTGTTTTAAAAAAATGTATCATAACTTATTAATTTGTATTTGCTGATTAACTAAAAACAATTAAAGGACTGTACAAATATACATGCATTTGTCATAATAATTCGTATAGATAAGCGTAGGAACAAGTCACAAAAGAACCTAAGCCCACTTTTTACCAAACATATATATAAAGAAGCGAACCTAAAAAGAAAGAATCAGACAAGAAATCTTTGTAAAAATGACTGCGAAACGCTCTCTCTCTCTCTCTCTCTCTCTCTCTCTCTCTCTCTCTCTGCATATTTTCTCTTTTTAACATGTATTTGTCATTTTGATGAACAAAATTGTTTAAGAAAATTACGGTCGAATTATTGTCATAATCTGCATTGAGAAATATTCTCAATCACTGAGTTTTACGGTTCAGCCTTTTGTCCAAACATGATTTTAACAACACCGAGTTTTGCATAATATTTTCCCAATCCACCGATAAAGAATCAGTGTGTAAACTATCACTTACTGTTATTACACAATATTTCCATTTCTAATTTTTCCCTCTGTGATAACTCTTTGAAAGTTAGCGGAGTTAATTTCTTGATAATTCTACCGGAATATAAATTAGGAAGGTCAATAGGTCATGATCAGGAGCTAAGGAGGCCTAATATGCATACAAATCTCGTGCGCATCTGTCTCTGAGTCTGACGCTAAGGAGGCCAAATATGCATGAAAATCTCGTGCGGCTGCCGTTGTGTTTGATGTCAGTTGGCGAGGACTATTGAAATTGGGATGGAAATCCTCGTGTAATTTAAATCTATGTCTGCGTTTTTAAAGTCTAAATCTACAGATTTATTTCATAATGAAATGGAAATATAAGGAATCACTGTCTAGTTAGTATAGTATGCCAGGAACATCAACGATAGTGGGAAACATGGGATAATTTATGCATAACGGGCTTCGCCCGTTATGCAAATTATCCCATGTTTCCCACTATTGTTGATGCCCTGGCATACTATACTAACTAGACAGTGATTCCTTAAATAATATACAAACACAGACTCTTTATAGAATGAATTAACATGTCTGTTGTGAAGCAACTGAACTTTCCTTGAAATAAGTACATACACTCGTATTTACCTGCATATTTAAGGAATCACTGTCTAGTTAGTATAGTATGCCAGGGCATCAACAATAGTGGAACACAGACTCTTTATAGAATGAATTAACATGTCTGTTGTGAAGCAACTGAACTTTCCTTGAAATAAGTACATACACTCGTAACGCATATTTAAGGCGAAGCCCGTTATGGGATAATTTGCATAACGGGCGAAGCCCTTTATGCATAAATTATCCCATGTTTCCCACTATTGTTGATGTCCCTGGCATACTATACTAACTAAACAGTGATTCCTTATATTTCCATTTCATTGTGAAATAAATTTGTAGATTTAGACTTTAAAAATGCAGACATAGATTTAAATTACACGAGGATTTCCATCCCAATTTCAAGAGTCCTCGCCAACTGACATCAAACACAACGGCAGCCGCACGAGATTTTCATGCATATTTGGCCTCCTTAGCGTCAGACTCAGAGACAGATGCGCACGAGATTTGCATGCATATTAGGCCTCCTTAGCTCCTGATCATGACCTATTGACCTTCCTAATTTACATTCCGGTAGAATTATCAAGAAATTAACTCCGCTAACTTTCAAAGAGTTATCACAGAGAGAAAAATTAGAAATGGAAATATTTAAACTACAGACGTGTAGATAACATGTAATTTCATTCTGTTTATACTCGTTGGATATCTGTGATGGTCCTATTTCATTTACAGTTTTACAGCTGGTTATGGAATTATTAAACCAGCAAATTCATTTTTATAATATGAATACACATGTATTTATGACAGTCTTGACATAATATGGATCACATTTGATATTGCAACTTTACTAATTTAACTGCATGTATAAAGTTTAGACTACTTCAAAGTATTTTCTTTCATCATTGACGAGCACCACAGAAAATCAGCAGAGCCTGCCATGTTTATGCAATTAGTCTCGTAGTAATTTTTCTTCAGGAGTCTCTCATATCTGACTGTACCTTGATTCATGGTCACCAACAAACGTGTTCGACACAATTCCTTTTAGTTTAAAACTTTGTTACAAACAACCAAAAATCCATGTATCATTTCAATTTTTTATTATAAATAAAAATAAAGCATATGAAGGAATATCACAGTTCATCTCTAAATTCAATCTCATTTTCCTCTTTCTCCTTTTGTTGAAGTTTTTGGAAATCTTCAATGGCGTAGAATTCCTCTTGGGAAATGACGTCATCACCATTAGTGTCGCCCATGTTCATGATTGTTTGGGTCAGGAAAGCCACACTGCCCTCGTCACTTACCATATCGCCGAACATTTCAACGATATTGGGAAGAGAAAAATATTTCTTCATCTGCAAATAAGAAAAATAAGTTTATCATATTCAATTATTATTAAAATCAAAGTACATGTACTAAAAGTACTGAAGCGGTTAGCATGAATTCTGTCCAAATATTGATATTAAAGTACAGAAGGGCTTATCTTCGATGTAGTCAGACAACAACAAATACATAACTTTGCAGTATTTTCAATTTGTTCTAGGATGAAATGAAATATTTGATTAACAAAATCCTATTTTCCATTGAATTGCGAAACAAAAAATCTTTTTAACGATTTCATTTTAATTTGACCTCTGATTGTGTCCAAAAGTACCCACTGCGCAATAATAGATGCTGCAAATCTACATGTGATGTTCAATGACCTCTTATATTTTTAATTTTCAATTAGTCGTGTAATTCAAAATAAATACATATGTAATAAATTTTAAAAAATAAAAATAAAAAATAATAAGAAAATAATATTAAATACCTCGATCAGAAATGAATAAATATTTTTCAAGTCTCATAAGGTTACCGGTATTTCACGTGTTCTGTTTAAATGGGAGTTTGATCGCACCTAATACGACGCCGAATCTATTATTGATTATCGTTAACAAAATGATGTTACAGTTTTACCTCAGCTTCGTTAAGTTGTCCATCTTTATCCTCATCCAGTGTCGCAAATATGTCAATGTCTTCCTCCGACACCTCCACTAGTTCCACTTCGTAGAGGAGCCAGGAGCCACCTGGGACTTTGTCTGTAGAAAAACAGGAATATTAAAAACAATTTGTGATGCTGTGACTTAAATATGCTCTGTATATGTATTTTAAGTATACCATTATTCTTGTCTTGGTTATGCACCTTCTTAAGAGCTTTATCATTTTCCCCTTTCTATTTTATTTACAAATCTGACAAAGCTTTGAATAACAAAACACATCAAGTGCATGTATATTCTCAATGGAAAATAACCAGATTAATCCGTACCTCTACCGTCTTCGCCGTATCCCAGATGAGGGGGTACATTAATTTCCCGGATTTCCCCCACACACATTCCCATCACTCCTCGGGATAGTCCTACAGGAACCTTCTTTGAGCCCACGATAAAACCAAATTCTGTATCGTAAAGGTATCTATGGATAAAAAACAACAATAAAATGGTTACCAGCATATATTTCACTTCAAAAGTTATGAAAATCCCCAGAGATATAGACTCGACAAATTAAATCTTGTACATACGTGTTTTCAAACTCGGTTCCATCCTTCAGCCATCCTATGAAATGTACGGATACTTGGTTTCCATCTTTGACCGGTTTCTCACATTCCACGGGAGGGGGAGCTATCACTTTAAAACTTATATCTTCCTGATCATTGCAAAGCACAAAAGCACAGTTTAAAAGCATAAATACGACAAAGGCAGAAAATTTTGGAACCATTTTGTTTGTGTTTTATGAACTGTTTAATTCAACATTGGAGCAGTCTAAAATATATCCATTTCTTTACAACATGGTAGCCTCTGACCGTGTCCTGAGGCCTGTCATTTTACTAGTCTTCCTTGATCGGGTGTGATGTAACAAAGATAATAATATATACCCTTATGACTCGATAAAGGTACTAAAGACACGTGTATAGTATATCATCATCCGTTTTCTTTGTTCAAAATATGTACAAGTATCAACTAAAAAAAACATTCTTTAAATGATTATCATAAATTTACTTACAAGGAATATTCACATTAATTTTAGATATTAATTTTATAATCAATGTTGTTGGAATGTTGAAATGATATAAAATCTATTATCCATATTTTAACTTGTTAATACAAAAGCTTAAAGATGCCGAAGCAAAATTTGTCCTTTTAAAAACCATTTTGTCATTTGTAAGGCCGTGGAAAATGATATCTTTGTTTTCTGTTCCTTATCAAGAGGTCCTCAAAAGCAATAATGACAGTCTAATTGAGGAGAAAAAGGCCGTTATACATGTACATATGTATGGTTTTTTAATGCGTCCGTCCGGATCGATAGATCCATGGCGTATATTGTTTTTGTCCTGTCTGTCTGTTTATCTGTTTGTCTGTTGTCAACTTTAACCTTCGCCATAACTTTTGCATTAGAGATAGAGACACTATACTTAGTTTGTATATACCCCCCTAATAAACTTCTTTCAAAAGACACCAAGGTCAATGACCTTGTGACCTATATGCTAAAAAAAGCTTTTTCGACTTTACGCCATAATTTTTAACCATAAAAGATAGAGACTTCATATTTGGTATGCATACTTCACTAATTGAGTTCTTTAAAATGACACCAAGGTCAATGACTTTGTGACCTTGACTGTGACCTATATGTTAAAAATAGCTTTTTCGAACCTTCTTTGCCGCGCATAGTGTTTCAAAAACACATCTTGTTTTTCATTTTTAATCAAGTAAAAAAAACAATTTGAAGCAATTGGTATGTCCACAAGAAAGTGTGAAGGCCAGTCCTCGTACATGTCGTCGATGACAGGCACCTAGTATCATGCCCCTTTTTATTCATGCATTTCTTTTTTCTTTGGGGGGGGGGGGTGCATAGATATTGAAAGGCTGTTCCCCACACCTTTTATTTGGTAAGTGCGTAGGCAAATCCAGGTAATATGACAGTGTATGAATAAAATTTGTTTATGAAAAGAGTAACAGACATTCAACCTGTCCCTCAACTAATTAACCGACGGTTTCAAATAATCTGACCCAGTAATTTTGTAAAATTGAGAAATGATGTAAGAAACTAAAATTAATTCATCCTTTCTGAAGTATTGAAAATCCATTCAGTAAGAACATACAAATAGTTTTCCTAATATGATCTTCTTAATGCTAATTGTGACGTTTTGAACTTCTGCATTTTCCCGTATTTTCTCTTGAAGATGCAAAAGACATCAATTTTCAGTGGAATTTTATTTTACCCGTAACAAGACCTTTCTAAATACACTATGATTTTTGACCCCGTGACCTTGTCCTTGAAGTTTGACCTACTTAAAAAAATAAATATTAATTTGAATTGGCCATAACTTTTCGACCTACATGTACTTTTAAAAAAATAAAGCCTTAAAATAGGCCATAACTTTTGGAATGAGAAGAGATATGAATTTCATTTTAAACATACATATCACCTGTGGCAAAATCTTTCTAAATACACTCTGATTTTTTGACCTCGTGATTTTTATCTTGAAGTTCTACTTTTTCAAAAACTTTAATCTTGTTAATGACTTTTGAATGAGAAGATTTGGAGCTTTCATATCAAACCTGTGTATTGCTTGTGACAAGATCTTTCTTGATTTTTTTTCTTGTGACCTTGTCCTTGAAGTTTGACCTAATTTTCAAAAAATGTTAATTTTTCATTATAACTCTTGATTGAGAAGAGATAGGGTTTTCATATTTGACATGTGCATTTCCTGTGACAAGAAACTGGATGTATCTCCGAGTATTCTATGATTTCTGACCCCTTGACCTTCATGGTTGACCTTTTTCTTTTTAAACGAACTTCGGTTATAATTTCTGAATGACAGAAGAAAAGGCGTTCATATTTGACATAATATGCCATGAAAATGACATTTCACCCACAAAGACACCGAAAGCGGGGGGCCAGAATTCTTTTGTTTGGTTGTTATAATAATAATAACCTTTATTTATCCAAGATAACACAATTAGCATAAAGCTAGTTTTCATTGTGGTCCTGCATTAAAACATATTTACAATCACATAAGGACATACAAAATTAACATCTTAATATAAACTTAAGATATAACAGTACAACACGTACAAACATGAAGAAACATATCTTTTAAGAAGGTACACTCAAAGATTGGGGGAAAAATCCATTTTAAGTATTGAGTCTGTTAAAATAGTGAGATACACAGATTTAAAAATATTCACTGACCTAGAATTTCGAACATTTTGTGACAGTTTGTTTCATAAAAATGCAAATGAATATCTAAATGAACGTTTGTAATTTTCTGTTTTGGCTCGTGGTAAATACATTAATTTGACATAAAATCATTCGACCTGGTTTGGCGACAATTGACATCTCTTGTATATTAAAACACATTTAAATAATCTGGCATTTTATTGTTTAAAACCTTAAATAGAAAAATGACCTGTCGAAACATAAAAAAATCCTTAATTGGCGTGTTTAGACAGGTCATTTTTCTATTTTAATGTTTTAAACAATAAAATGCCAGATCATTTGAATGTGATATCTTCTATTACTTATCTATGGGAACTTTCATCTTTGCAGAATTCAAATTAAGGTTCGCCGAAAGTGTGCAGTTTGTACATTTTTCCATCTCCTTTAAGGACATGCTCACTCTTTTCCTAGACTGTTTTTGTCCCCTGCTTTTGCGAAAGCAAGGGGACATAAAATCCCATTCGTCTGTTCGTCTGTCTCAAAAACTTTAACTTTGGTCATATCTTTAGAACGAGATTCACCCTGATATTTTACTTCGTGACTTTGACCTTGAAGTTTGACCCGCTTTTCAAAAACATTAACCTTGCTCATAAATTTTAAATGAGAAGACATAGGGCTTTTATATTCAATCTGTGTATTGCTTGTGACAAGACCTTTCTAAATACACTATAATTTTTTACCCCGTGACCTTGAAATTTGACCTACTTTAAAAACTAAAATACTACTTAAAATTGTTCAGAAGTTTTGAATGAGAAGACATAGGGCTTTAATATTAAACAAGTTTATTGCCTGTGACAAGACCCTTTTTTGATACAAATATATTTTTAAATATGATTTTTGAGCCAATGACCTTGACCTATATGTTTGACTTACTTTAAGAAATGTCAATTTTTCCTCATATCTTTAGATTAAGAGTAGGTAGGGCTTTCATATTTGACAAGTGCTTTACCCGTGACACGATATTTCCGAGCATGCTATGATATCTGACCCCTTGGCTTTGACCTTCAGGATTGACCTAATTTTCCAAAAAAAATCAACTTCGGTGATATCTTCTGAATGGCATATGATTCATACTGGTCTCAAGTTTCAATCAAATACCAAGGACTTTCTACTCAAACATTTATTATATTCATATATTAATAACATTTAAATAAAGCGAAATATTATAGTTCATCCTTTGACAATTTGTTCAACGAATCAGCCTCGTTATGAGAGTCAGAGACACGTGATTCTTTATCAGAGTCTGCCACAGAGTTCGAGTCTTTGTCTTCAAGACCCGCCTTAGCATTTTTCCTAAGCTGTTCGAGACCGATCATCTCCGACATCTCAAAATATTCCAGCCTGTTCAACATCCCGTCTCCATCTTTGTCGAACCACTGAATGGCGAGCTCTACCATGTTGTCCATACCCAATGTCAAGCGCAACATTCGCCTCAGATCCTTCTCTCTTGTCAAGACACGATCAATCTAAAAAAAAAACAACATATTATGTATTCCTGTTAACATACATGGAGAGGGAAGAGGATGTTTAGTCTTCTAGTAAAGTACCTGTATATGAAACGGATCCATCAGTAGCATTAACAACACAGCTCTACATTATCATGGTCCACAGGCACCTGACATTACTTATTTTTCTTTTTATAAAAAACATACCCCCTACCTAATTATAATAAACAGTAGGGGTTATATTTTTATTAAAAGAAAAATAAGTAAAGTAAGGTGCCTGTGTCATGATTATACGGTTACTTTTTAATCTTCGGTACAAACTAATCTGTACAGTGGGCCTTACATCTTTAATAATATATATTAACAATTCAAAAAGAAGGTATATATGTATAGATCAAACGCATTACCTCGTCAGAGTCAACGAACCAGTCAGCATTCCAGTCCGCCGAGATAAAGTCCAGGAGGAGGGACTTTTCTGCCTTTGGGACCACGTCCAATATCTCCACTTGGTAAAGGATTGTGGAGTTACCGGGGATTATTTGTACCAAGTTGACGGCTGTTTAAAGAAGAAGACATTCTGAACACATATTATCCATTTATTATTGAGACAAGGGTTCTACAGTTTTGAAATTACATGTAAACGTAAACTATCATAGATATATTCTCTATTACCTGGTACTTTTTCTGATAGGGTGTGTGTTAATGTTAGTATTCCGTTATGGTTGTTTTTTTTGGGGGGAGGGGGTGTAATCTAGAGGTACATGTATACATATCCTTCCATAAGATTTACTTACTATAGAATACTTTTACGTGATAGCTTGTTTTGATAGATTTGTTGCACTGGAATGACTGGGTCAGATATTTTTGAAATAAAAAAAAATTCCAAAGTGACAAAGTTATTTTTGTCCTTTTTAGTATGTGATTTTAAGTCAATAATATTTTTTAAAAATGTTAATCAATGGAAAAGGGGGGAAAAAGTCATAAATTTTGACGCATCAGTTGAAATACAATGCATTAAACAAGTATATTGAGAAGCCAAAATTTCGCCATATTTTTAAACAGGGCCGAATTTGGTGCCTAACGTGCTTCCTTCTGATTTCTAATGTATATGGAGGTGTTGTTTTTTTTTTTAATTTTATTTGTACTTTCATTATATCAAAATTTTATGCTCATTTTTCTTTCACTTACTTGTGTTTTCGCTGCCATACATGAGATGGGAGGGTATCGTCAGGTTTCGCTTCTCCCCCTTACACATCCCACGTAACCCGATATTGATGCCATTCTTCTGATTTCCGAAGTACCATCTTCCTGGGACACGTTGTCCGTTAGGCCTTCAAGTGAAGTAAAGAACATGATAATTAAAGTGATCATTACTTTTTAATTAATGTAGTTTTTCTTTCAAAATGAATTACATAGGCGTTGTAAGCAAATTGAAAGTAGGGGAGGGAGGGCTCAACCAACAAAAAGTTTTTAAAACGATTGGGGGATAAGCCTCAAGGGGTTCATTCCGACACCTATATGATCATTAAACTGATTTTCAAGTTAAAGAGGAACAGAGCTTAAAAGTTCTGGTTGATTTAATTAAATGGTTCCCGAGATGTTTCCCCATGTCAAACTTACCAGTGAGTGCTGAAGATAGGTGTCCCGTCAGTCAGGGTCATGTTGTCGTACGACAGGTAGAAATCACCGAAGGTGACCCCATAACAACCGGGGGTCGGGGGAACCGTCGTCTCAATTTTAACTCCTTTCTTATATTCCACTTGACAATTTGAATAAACAATCACAATGAAAATAACTAAAGCTCCTAAATGATAATAATTGGCCATATTTGTGTCCCTGTTACCGATGAAATGCGGGTACTTGCAATTAATACTGACATTCACATTTCCCAAGGCTATACATTTACAGGGAAATTTAACTTCCTTCTTTAATTTTTTACTCGATCCTTTAATTATTATTGTTCACAAGAATGCACATTCAAAAGAGGAAGAAAATAGAGAGATTATCTATTTTATTACGGAAATACCAGCATACCGCCTCATACACATTAATTGATTTCTAACGGAAGAGTATTAATTGACTATCACCGACATACATGTACTATACTAATATTGCGGAATCATCTTTAATTTGATCGTGGAGGACCAATGTTCTCTCTTGGGTCAATATTTTATTCTATTATTATCCTATATCCCACACGTCCTGAAAACTCTCATACAAAGAAAGCAGCAAACAATTGTTTTCAAATGCTGTAACAGAATGGGCATAGATTTGTCAAGATGTAAATCAATGAAACTAATAACTTTAAAGAAACATCATCCTTCAATATTGGTTTAAACAAAGAGATGATTCGGGTAAACACAACATATTTCTATATAAAAAGAAGTTTTGAAATTGAAAAGTATTTATTATTAAAAAATTTTGAACAAAGAAAAATTATATGCAAAAATATATACATGTATTGTGCTGGAGAGCAAACCACCCTTGCAAGAAATGAAAGAATTTGTAGAATGTGCCACCGTCACCCATTGAAAAACGTGAACATGTATACTGCTCTCAAAAAAAGGCGCTGATTTTTTAATCAATATCTTTAAAATAAGAAATCTCTCCTTGTAATATGTGTCTTTAAACAAACTTTTATTTATATATTGATTATGTATGTTGTAATCCCCAACTGCATCTCTTTTGTTAGTTACCTATCAATTTTGAATTTCTGCCCACACCCCGGGGGCCCCAAATTGGTATTAATAAATCTTATCTTATCTTATTGTCAGTCCGGAGAGCAACAGTGCCACCGTCACCCATTGAAAAAAACGTGTATACTGCTCTCAAAAAGGGCGCTGATTTTCGATTTATTTCTCCTTGGTTTTTCAACTGCAATCTAAAAATATTACTAATTGCTTTTGTGTCTCTTTATTTCGTCAAAATTCCGTCTCTTTATTTTGCCAATATAATTTTGGCAAGATAATTCGGTCCAACGCACTTTTTGCAGATACATACTACAAGAATAGTTGAAAGAGGTCTAAAGAAAATGTTAAAATCGAGCTTTTGTGCAGTTGAGGTAAGAATCTGGAGAATTTTTTTTTTTTACTGTTCATTTTTTTTTTTTGAGATTCAAGTCATTTATTCAATAACATACAACAAAATATTGAGGTCAAACCTCCACAGAAGCCCTCTGGTAATACCTCACCATGATATATGAATCTGGAGAAATTTAGAACTGAGCGCAAGTTTTTGTGCGCAATAAATACTTAGTATACACTTTTTCCTATGAGTGGCACTGTAGCTCTCTGGTCGTCCATTCCATTTTTTTCCCAGACAAGCGAACTAGCAGCTATTTTTAAGCCACACAGTGATACTAATATCAAAAGCAATGTATATTTACCTTTTTTGAGAAAAAAAGAAAGAACAGTAAGCAACATACATGTATTTAAATATCAACGAAACAACTTTCAGAAAATCTTTCAACAATCTAGATCTTAATGTATATCGTAATTTTATCTCTTTGAGAGACTTTCGAGGATTTGTCAATATTTAATCCTGTGTTAAAATTGTGTTTACAGCTCGATCCTATTCCTTCGCCGTCTTTTCTTTCGCGCTTCTTCAAGCTCTTTTTGTTTTCTTAAGCTCTCTTCTTTGGCTTTGACCATTTCATCAAGACCAATTGTTTTTAACATTTCAAAGTACTCTTCTCGATCCAGCGTGCCGTCCCCATCTTTATCAAAAAGACTCATAATCCAATCTGACAAATTTTCTACGCTAAAGTCGAACAGTGGAGACTTCACGAATTCTTCATTCAGGAGAACAGTATCGACCTTAAAACAGATAGATACATAACTGTTAAAGTTCACGTCAAAATAATTTGTTTTAAACTACACATTTTGTCAAAACTACATGTATTTACCCAGTACATTTAATTAAAATGACGATTGAAAAGAGCACCCATTTACATATAACCGTGAATTCGCCGACTCCTATTTTACGTCATTTCCTTCAATTCACAATATCTTATTATAAGAGGATACCTCTTCTAGGTCTATCACTTTGTCCGCATTCATGTCGGTGGACCAAAAATCCAACAAACAATGTTTATCCTCTACGGGGACGTGGTCTTCAATCAGTGCCTCGTAGAGAACCAGAGAAACATCTGAAACAACGTAAAGAGGGTAATGTAGTAAATGAATATACTTCTAGTTCAACACAGAAGTTCGCGTTCATGTACCAACAATCAGTATTTAGATTACTGTATAATATAACGAACTAAATCCACAACTTTGTGAACGTACCCTCGTTATCAGATATAAGCATCAGTTTTCGTGGTATTGTGAGTCGTCTTTTCTCCCCCTTGCAGCCCCCTTCCAATCCTATTGTAACTCCATTTGTCACGCCAACAGCAAAGTAATACTCCTCCGCAACTTTCTCCCCATTCGGCCTGCAAAAACAACAAGCTAATCCAGAAAAAAACCAGCATATATATACATGTAACACTAATTAAGGTGGGCAGGCTGGACACGTTAAGAGAGGCTGTGTCATAGGGCGTTCAGAAAGCTCGAAAGTTTTTTTTTTGAGATATCGCCCGGAATTGTAAGTTTTACACACAGACAGCTCGTATAACCTTTTAACCTCAAAATCAATAGGCGTCTATTTCATAGGCCATACGCGTGGAATAAAATTTCACTGCAAAGGCTCAAAGGCTTCTCGAAATATCGCGCAGAAATGAAAGTGTTTTTATGAATTTATTACCTTGAACTTAAACTTTTTGACCTCAAAATCAATAGGGAGTCGTTATGTTAAAATTCATTGCAAAGCGAAAGGCTTCTCGAGATGTCGCGTGGAAACTAAGGTGCAACTGTCAGCTATATAGACAGACAGTTAGAAAGACAGAGGGACAGAAAGCCCCAAATTAATATTAAACGGAAACTACCGTTTCTCTCTATATATGAATATATATGAAGTATGAAGTTTACCTCAATATTATTGTTCTATTCACTTCTTACCTGTATGTCGTATCGATTAATTCCCCCTCTAATGACGTCATGTTATACAAAACCTTAACCCAATCCCCCTCCTTGACCCCACGGCAGTCGGAGGGGGGAGGAGTGATAATCTCAATTTTTACCCCTTCTTTTGTCTCAATTTCGCACCCAACAAATGTAATTACAAACAATAATATAGACAATCTTAAAAAGCTTAGAACACCCTGTGCAGAAGCCATCATCTATACTTGTACACTGGTTAAAGGTAGGTGAGGGCCTCAGTATATAGTGGATGTGTCCAATAACAAGAAAAGTGACCCGTACACCTTGTTAATAAGAATTCATAATACCCTGATAGGCTATGTGTACATATATACTGAATCTCCTTCATCTATCCACGTTTCTTTGTTGCCCAATATAAGCATTCACAAGGTACATTTTATATAACCCCCTGTATCTCACCCACACGCTAGTGAAATAAGATGGCTGATTCTGTGGTCTTGATATATGATAAACAATATTATTGTGTCATTAATGTTCGCGGGGTTATAGCCATAATATGCACGTCATTAGCGCGGCTTGCAGAAGTTCTATCCATAAAATTAACAAATATTAATGACTACATGAAAATTTTCCAAATAAAATGTGAAACAGTGAATTGCTATTAAATGAACAGAGCAATATTTTATTCAGATTTATCGAAATACTGATTCTTTTATTCACTGGGATTTTAGTATTTTTAAAATATCAATAGAGAACTTTCCGTTTCAAAATAATCAGAAACCTTGCTGTTTGTCAAAAATCATTTTATTAAACAATTTTTTTATTAATTCATTTACAGTTCAATTTTTAAAGGTATTAGTACCGAGGCAGACTGATATAAGCATTTCAGACAACTCACTAACACAAGACAGTCTAAAGATAATTGTTCCCCCCTTTTCAGCAAACATATACATAATATAAGCATTGAAAATTGGGGTTTACCTTATTTGTTGGTACCCCCCCCCCCTTCAATTTGCTTCCGACGCCTATGCGTTACAGTTATATATGGCAAGCCAAATTAAAAAAAAATGAGCTTAACATAGTTTCGCAGTTGATAAACTAGGTTTATCGGCTGTAAACTATACTTTACAAACCGTGAACTATAGTTAACAAGCCGTAAACTATAGTTTACAAACCGTGAACTATAGTTAACAATTCGTTAACTTATAGTTTTCATCTGTAAAACTATATTTAACGGTTGTTAACTATAGTTTACGAATGCTACTCTAAGTTTATCTGTCTGTAATAAAACGTTAACAATAGATCTTGTTGATAAACATAAATTCATGTCTGTCAACTATAAGTTAATCATAGTTTCACAAATCGTGAAACTATATTTATCAGTTGGTTAACTGTAGTGAAGAGTTGTAAACCATAGTTTACAAATCGTGAAAATGTATTTATCAGATAATCTATGTTTTGCAGTCGCAAATGATTGTTTTCAGTGTGTTAACTATAGTTTACAGTCCGTAAACTATAGTTTACAACCGATAAACCTAGTTTATTGACTGTGAAACTATGTTTAGCTATAGTTTACAGTCCGTAAACTATAGTTTATCGACTGTGAAACTATGTTTGACTCATTTTTGTGAATTTGGCGTGCCATGGTATGGTATGTTATAACATTTTAATTATTGCACAGTTTCAATCGCAAAAAGTAAAGTTGGAAAAAAAATGTCCCATACTACGTGCCTGTTGATCCAAAAGCTGTAAAATAGTTTGATATGGCCATTCATAGAGAATAGTATAGAATAGGTCAATATAATATATCAAGAAAAAAATTTCATAATTGAATTTTTTTTCCTCATTTTTTAAAATTTCTTGTTAGCAATTTGCTCGCCTTGTTTGAAGGTTTTTTTTTTATCGTCTCCTTATTACAATGTCTCGAAATCATACGAAAGATACGTGAATTAATTATTATACAAACCATATCTTAATTTCTGCATATTCATATGAATAAACGCCAAAAGGTATCTGCATAAAAATATATACATATAATATAACAAGTGGCAAAACCCGATCGGCTGGGTGAATGTACCTTTATTATACCAAAATCTGCCACGTAACCCTATGTGTTTCTACATAAGTACACAATAAGGGACTTGGGTTCATCCGAAAAGATGCGGCTGGTGTGTTTGTTTCTTGTGGTCATTTTCCTGTCTTCAACCCATGCCGAGCAGACCAATGAAGAAATGAAAGTAGAAGTTCTATACAAACCACGTGTTTGTCTCAAGAAGTCACAACTCAACAACATGCTGAAAGTCCAATTTAAAGTGTTCTTTGAAAATGGGACATTATTCCACTCAAGGTATTTTACAGTTACTAAACCGTTATAAAAATCCTATACCGGTAGTTTATCCCCATCCTTCCTTCTTGAAAGAAATCCAAACCCAAAGTTGCTGTCGTTTGAGTTGTTCTTTGGATGTATTATAAATCTATCATTTGATAATTTTCTTCAGTTATGACACGGATGTTTTGATGGACGTCCCCCTAGGACTTGGGGATCCTTCAGGTGAATTAGAGAAAGGTTTCATAGACATGTGTATAGGGGAGAAAAGACTATTAACGGTTCCACACCACGGACAGGGGGACAGGGAACTCCCGCTCCAGAACGGTAGGTTTTCATACAGTGTATACATATTATGTGTGTCTGTCTCATAGTGAAACTGGTTTAATTGAGGTTTGATTAAAAGACAACCATTGGAAATATATTATCTACTTATTCTGGCCAATAATTTTTCTCTGAATATCGAAGTTCACATAGATCTAATTTAATAAATACTCTTTCCCAGATCATATTTTAAAAATGAATCATCAGGTGAACCAAATCACAATTGGTTGCTTTACTTTATTTCTATCCACCATAATGTATTTCATTATACAATTTAGTCGACACTAGTGGTAGAGAGGATAAAAAACAAAATTAACCCATACATGTAGGTAGACAACTTGTTCATATCTGATTCTTCTTCGATTCGGCTTGCGATTTGTTGGACCCCCCCCCCCTTCCCCTCTACTGGAATTTACATTTCATACATAATTTACCATAAGATGCTGAATTAAAATCGTGAACTTTAAAATATAAAATTTCATAAAAGGCTTAGGGGCGTTATATCCGGTCTTGATGTGTTTTGTATAAGACTGTATTTTGTTGTTAGGGAACGTGCTCCCTCCCAACATCCCCCTGTTGTACGAGGTGGAGTTGATAGACCTGGAGGATAAGATTAACGTGAAGGAGGGATTCGAGAACATCGACTCTGACGGCGACGACCACATTACACTGGATGAGGTGAGGAACATGAAACGAGAAGACTTCAGTGACGTAGCATTGTTTTTGAAAGGGGGACAGCCAGAGAATTGTTTTTAAAATTAACTTACCTGAAACTGTACTGTAACAAAAAGTGGGGGAGGAGACAACCGACCTTTCAATGAACATTTCCAATAGTAAAATTTAAGTTTGGAAAAAAATGTGGGCCCCCCTCCCTGTTGCTACGTGCCTGGACTTAACTTTTTTTATCTATTGTGTAAAATTGTTTTTGGACTTCATTGTCTGTGAGACAGCAAATTTGTTGAGCATGAATCCAACAAATTCTTTGACAAACGTTGTAGAAACACTTCTATTTTGCTTGCATATGTTAAAAAAGTTTAGATTGTTATATATAGATAACAATGTACTAATTGCTTGCATATTTTGAATCGAAATGTATGAAACCCGTTTTAGCTAATTATATACGTTCTTATCTGCATTCAGATCATGGAACAATTGAAGGCCGTCCAGGAAGCTGGTGGAGACACGGCTCTATCCCCGGAGATTCTCCTACAGGTGTACAATAACCTGATAGCCGCCGCGGACAAAGACAGTGACGGGAGGATATCCCGGGAGGAATACCGACACCTCCTCCCACACGAGCTGAAGGACGAACTATAAATAGTCATAGTTAGATTTCAAACTATAATGTGCCAATTCTATTTTTGAATGATGGTTAAAGCATGTATGTTACTTTCGATGATTTATTGTAATCTTTTTAAATGTATATCAACTTTGGTCCATTGTTTGACTCCATAACTCGGCTTTTTTTTAGTGTTTTTCTTACTAGGTAAAGCTTCCTTTAACCATGTTCACCCATTTGTATGACTTTGTTCGTGTTATGTGGATTTTGTAACCTGCTGCATAGGAACTCATAGCAATCAGCTGTCAGTAACGAATACCCTCCGGTAAAAGCATTACGTGTACATATATTAGACATTCAGTAGATCCTTATTTGTTAAATAAAGGTAGATACTGGTTTTCTTGTGTTTTCTTTATGTCCAAAGCTCCAGTCAAGAGAACGGAGACAAGTTCCTCAGCTTGAGGGTTCAGTTAAAATTGTAGCGGGTATCCTTTTGAATCTCTCTCCCTCTCTCTCTCTCAACAAACAGGTGTTGGAAAATGAAGTTTGAGAAAAAATTGAATTAAAAAATGGATACCTGGACTGTTTTGTTTGTTAATGCTGTTCTGTGCTAGCCAAAGGTTTCTAATCCGCTACTCGCCTCACAAACGCTTATGAATAGAGTAGAGAATCAGAAATGGCTAGAATGAATATGTTGTTAATGATACAAACAATAAAATTCTAAAATATTAAGAAATTGCAAACTTTTTATAATGCTGAAAATTATACCTTTCTGTAGTCAATTTAAAGAATTAATATATAATTACGACTTCTTGTCATTCTAAATCTCAATACTGTAAAACTTTGAATGAGAAATTCTCTAAAGGTAAAACTTATTCATTTTACTTATGTGAGTATTTTAACATATGAGCGATAGTGTTAATATTTTCAAGATTTTTTAAAAAGAAGTTTGTATTATCTGTGTCTAAGCATTGAGTATCATCTACAATAAATATTTTGCCTATAAATCATTATTCCTTTCTACATACAAAAAATGTGTTTTGTTGACTGTATACTTAATATATCTAATGAGATGCAATAGATTAATGCACCATTCATTACAGGGAAATGTGTTTTTCCCTGCGGCTTTGACGCCGCTATTGGTCCAAAGTACCCTGATATTAGGGGTATTAACAAATCTATAACTTAGTAGGTGTATTTGATAATACAAAACAGTTGTTGTCTGACTCGGGACAAAAGCGATGTACTTTCTTAAGTTTGCCATACTATGGACAGTAGTGTGCTTCTCTGGAACCTTAGGACAGTTTTTCCAGGATGATGTGTTCGTTGATGTCCAGGAAATGCCAGATGAATGTCTTGCTGAAGCGAAGGAAAACGACGTGTACCTGGTCCATTATCGCGCCTACCTCCCAGATGGAAAATTGATCTTCTCCAGGTATCCCTTGTCAATTATGTTTTTGTCCCCCGCTTTCGCGAAAGCGAGGGGACAATAAATCTCATTCGTCTGTCCCTCAGTCTGTCCGTCCGTAACAAAAACTTTAACCTTGCCCATAACGTTTGATTTAGTGGAGCTATGGCTTTCATATATCACATGTGTATTTATTGTGACAAGACCTTTCTTTGAGTACCACCAGATGTGACCTTTTGACCTCGACCTCGATCCATTTTTACACAAACATTTTAAACTTTTTGGCCATAACGTTTGAACGGTAGATACTAGGACATTCATATTTCAGATATGTATCCTTTGTGGCAAGACCTTTTATTGGATACCATTAACTTTGACCTTAAGACCTTGACCTTGGAGATTTCCATACTTATGAAAAACTTGAACCTCACTTTTGCAACTTTTGAGCTTTCATACTTCACATAGTAATCCTTGTGAGAAGACCTTTCATTGGTTACCAAGAACTTTGACCCTTGACCTTGGAGTCTGACCTACTTTTGAAAAACAAACCTTGACTAAACTTTTGAAGGGTTAGTGCTAGGGCTTTCATACTTCACATACATGCATGTATTTAATTCTTGTGACAAGACCTTTCATTGGATATCAAGAACTTCCACCCTTTGACCTTGGAGTTTGACCTACTTTTTAAAAATCTTAACCTTGGCAATAACTTTTCAACGGTGAGAGCTAGGGCTTTCATTCTTTACATATGTAATCCTTGTGAGAAGACCTTTCATTGGATACTAAAAACTTTGAGAAACCTTGTACACTAAACATTCATAAATTTATCCTAACAATGTCAGAGTTCTTAGTCTACCCGAGGCCGTTGGACCAGGTTTTCAATAAATTGAAATTAAAAACATTTGTACAACGTCCCATCGAATTCGCTAATGTTGAAATGCCATCACCACTTGTTGGTGCAGGAGGCTAAAATTTTCGACTTCTACTCGACACAAATCTTATAGACGGTCTTTGATCAGTAAGGGGCCTACTGGCTACTGTGACACAGAACCGATCTCCACGACCCGCATTTGGATTCGAACCTACGTAAGGAAACAGAAAGTAACCACTTGCCATTTGAGGGGGTGGGTGGGGGTTGTTTTCAGGAAAGACGTCGCTGCATTCAACCCGTCGTGTATAGTGAAACTTGTCAGGGGTCCAACAGTCATGAATTGGTTCAGACTTAAGAATCTGTAAGAATGTAGTATTATAAATATGCCTTTGATTCCCCTTTTGATTGTGGTCTTGCCATGGAACTTTTGGCATAAACATAATACTTGTATACGCCGTAAATAAAGAAACTTTTATGTGCATGTAATCTAAACTAAACTTTTTCAATCTTTCAGTTTTGATAACGAGCGTCCAGTTGTATTAATTCCGAATAGTCAAATAGGGACCCTAGGGCTGAGGAAAGGTATCGTGGGGATGTGTGTGGGTGAGGTCCGGGTACTAACGGTCCCCTCCAATCTAGCCTACGGCGAGGAAGGTCATGGGGCCAACAACGGTAAAAGGGTTCTAAGTTTTCCATTTAAATTTCATTTATCAATTCCATATGGATAAAACTTAATTAGACCGGTCTTTTATAATTAAGCGCAAAGGAATAGGATGAAACAGAAGTATAAGGAAAACTCTTCCTTTTCTTTTTTTTGTCTCCGGTTATAGTTACGACTTTCTTTTTCACTGACAGGTTTCCTAGAACCAGTGCCTCCGAATTCGGAGTTGATATACGAGGTGGAACTCATATTTGCTAATGACGATAAGCAGATGAATGATGCGTTCGATTCCATTGATAACAATGGCGATGGCTACTTGGATCGACAAGAGGTAGATCATAAACACAACACGTAGGCTGTGCGATCTAAGTCCAATATTGTCTCACATTAAAAGCAAAGGGTCCGCCCTGCCATGGACCTGTTACAATGCCATCTATTAAACTGATACTATAACTGAGTTCGGTCGACTTATGCAATATATGTAGTGTTGGCAACGAGCACCCGGTTAACCGGTTAACCGTCGAACGATGCGAGTATCGGTTAGTAAAACTGCTATTCGGTTACTCGGATAAAAATACATTTTTCATAGTAAATACGTATAAAATGATTTTTATGCTATTTGTAATTGTATATTGACACATTTCCCTAAATTAAAACTGGTGCAAAATTGGGATCGATTTGTTTTGATAAGTTTTAACAGCGTATATAATTAAGGGTTTTGATTACCAGGAGGGATACATGCTTTGAAGACCTGATTTATAATTACCTAATTTAGACCAATGATCAGAGGAACATATTGCCGCCGCAAACATCTAAAGCGTGGATATATTTTAAAAGAAAGACTATCTGTCAAATGCAAATTATGTATCGGAGTTGTCATATACGGGTGGAAATATAAATATGCTAAATCACCTTAGATTGAAACAAAATTCGGAATCCAGTGACTTATGTTGATTCTCCTCGATCAGACACGTATCTTCTTCATGTGTTGATTTTTTTTCTTAAATGAAAACAAACAGATCGTTTCAGGTGACATTTAAAATCAATATTCTTCGAAAATGTTGTGTGTTTTTTAGAGTTTGTATTTGTAAATAAATTAAAATTTATATATGTTGCATTTGTGGTTTATTTTTACCAATAAGTAAAAGGATGAGATTAATAATAAGTACGGAAACTATGGCAAAAAATCATCCGAGTAACCGGGTACTCGATCGGAAGATTAAGCGAGTAACCGGTTACTAAAAATCGTCCGATTTGCCAACACTAAATTATATATGTTACAAATTGCAAAATAATACCGTCATAATTTTAGATTAAGGAGGGTAAATTCTCCATTGATATCTCGATAAGATATTCCTGGAATCTATTCTTTAAGATCAAAGTGAAATGAATAATAAAGGCAAATAAAAATATTTTACTCAAAAGGAAACAGCAAATGTCAGCTACGGTGAGACCCCCCTTTCTGGTTCTTTACAACAAGTAGGATCAAGTTCTAGTTATATAAACGAAATGCATCTAACACTGACAAACAAACAACAGATTAAGAATCCTCTATATGAGTACCATTTTGATTATCATTGTTTATCTTTTGTAATTTGTTGCTTTTTATTGTAGATCCGGTACCAATTTACTCTTCTGGAGGCCGAACCCGCCGCAATGAGCCTCGGATTTGGGGGACCGGAAGTGATTGATAAACTGTATGAGCACATGTTCAGTACTAATGACAAGGATCAGGATGGAAGACTCTCTCGGGAGGAGTACATGGGGGCTCTCCCTAAGGCAGAACTCTGAGGTCTCAAAAGGAACACTACTCACCCCAGACTCAAAAGATCGAACACTACTCACCCAAGCTCAACTTCTTTCATGTTTTCTATATTTCGTATGAAAGAGTTGTTTGTGAAATGACTTGGAAATTTGCAATATATATTAAATGACGAATTACTGATTACCTTATATTAAAAATAAATTTATATCAATGGTCAAATTGGTTCTCATTTAAACCCTATTGTGATGGACTGTCTGAACAAAAGTGAACGACCATCAAGGCGATAAATCCAACAGACATTTGGTCAACATTGCAACACTAACCTGATCATGTTCCCGCTGTTCTTTTTCTCTATATATTCTCTGAAAAATGTTGAACTCATAATATGCAAGAATCCTCAGGTAGACTAGATTCAAGATTTTCTAATAAAACCAACCCTCCCACCTTCAAAAGTCAAAGGTTCTTTTATAACTGACACAAACATTTGTCCAACCAAATGATTAGATTTATCTTCAAAATTGAAGAAAAAAGTACATGGACGAATGTAAGGTTCTTGTCTCTGACATTCAGTTAACAATGAATTGATTCACATTAGCGAGAGGGAGGGGTGGTGGTGGGGTATAACTTTAACCAAAGCAACCAAAGAGTTTTTTTTTTAATTGATTAAATCTTAAAATTCTTGGTAGCATAGAAACACCACATAACAATGCTACAAAATGCTACAATTTTGAGAAAGTGCCATGCGCAAATCTAGAGCAGAAGCACACACACTTCTTTCGGAAATAATTTTTTAAACCCATTGTATAATAATAACACATATTATTATATACAATGTGTTAAAAAATTCATTTCCGAAACAAGTGCCTATGAGCTGAAAAGGGGGGGGGGGGTACGAACTTATAAGACTCTACAAATTCGTATAGTAAAGTAACGAAACAATGACCCTCCCCTTAGAAAAAAAAAGTGTTCCCTTAAAAAATGGCAAGGAAAGTCTTGTATATATGAAGGATTTTTTGTTTGTCTGTCAATATAATTCTGTGGTGATTTTTATCGAGTGGGTTAACGAATGGACCGACAGAAAAACGGATACTTAGTTAATATAAGCCCCCACTTTCCCAATAGGGGGTATAATAAGGTCTACATTGCTTTTTTTTAGCTGCAAATTTTGTCGTATACTGGACACTCAGTGCCATTGAGCACACAGGCACCTAACGAATGGAGGATGTAAACACCCCCCCCCCCAGCTTCGGAGAATTTTTATTAAAAAAAGCGGAAAATGATATCAGATATCGAAATACAATGATGATAGACTAGGAAACCACGTATCTTTGATAAGTTTTTGTGTCTAATAAAATTTCACAGAAGCTAAGGGGCGTGCGGGGGACCATCCATTCGTCAGAAGCTGAAAAAAGTAGCGTTATGGTTTTATATATTAGTCTTTGACCATAACTGTTATGGTCAAAGACTATTTAAGGTTTTTCCACCCTCACAATTTTAATGGTTCAAATTACATAAGCTGCATTTATTTCAATTTAATACAGATAAAATTTACTAGTTATTGGAAAAAATGTATAGGTCGCCATATTATTCAGGATAGGAGACGCAGAGACAGAAGTGTATGTCAACATAAAAGAATCGTACATTTTTTATAAATATTATAATAAAAATTGTGTAAAAACTGGTTCAAATGCATAATTCTGATGCTAAAAGTTCCCATATACTTGCTACTTCTAAGATAATTTTGAATTGTGAATACCAGGGAAGCGAAGAAGATGTCTGAATGAAGATACCTGAGAAGGAGTTATTGCCTTGTCAACTGAATTATTGATTAAAAAAAAAGAAAATAAACATTTTTAAAATTCTTTTACTTAACAATATTTATCATTATACCTATTGAAAAGTATTCTTATAAAAACAATTGTTCTACTTGACATGAATTTAAATTAATAACAGTTTTTGCAAAAACTTTCCGGGAAAATAAATTTCGTACCGATGCGATTTGGTTGTATAGGAAATTGCCGTGGTTTCAGTTTCGTTTTCCTATTATGGTGCCAAACTGTGCAAATGCACAAGATAGGATCAAGAACTAATAAAAATGGACAGCATATCAGGGTAAAACTTAACATATACTACATGATAAAAAATGTTTACTATGAATAGCTATTCCCCTTAAAACTTTCAGTCACTGAGATACATTTAGTATTTCTATGTCATAAGGAAGATGAGTTATGGGTTGATTCAGTTTGCAGACATATTGAAATATATAGACGTACAATATAAAGTGTTATTTAGTTAATTTTCTCCACTAAAGTTTATTTCTGTTGTTGCATTAATTTGCACTCAGCAGCTTACTAAGCTGCTATTTAGCAGCCACATGATAAGTGTACATGATCACTACATGTATTTAAATTTGTCGTTATATAGAAGTAGAAGTAATAAAATGACTCAGCTATGATGAAGTACTTCTCTACCTATATCTAGAGTGATCTCAGGATTGTTTGAATCAGCCACCCCTTATAAAAACCAAAAATACAGCCACCTGAAGAAGGAATGTGTCAGTGCTGGTAAACTATTTGAGGACCCTGTTTTTCCTCCAGTGGCTAGCTCTCTCTCATACACAGGATATGCCCCACGAGACATTGTTTGGAAAAGACCAGGGGTAAGAACTGCAGTAATACAAATTAAAGGGCAGGAATACTACTGCAGACTAACTGTTAATCACTTAATCTAAAGAATTGCGACAGATTACCACAGTAATTGTTAGTTAAGAAACAAGTTCTGTCCAATTGTTAAGTTGTTTCAAAATCTAAATTTTATTTCCTGCCAGGTGAGCCTTTGCCCAGTATGAATAAAATATTTTTCTAACTTTTCATGTGTACCTCAAACTTAACACCCAGTAACAGAGCCCCCCCCCCCCCCCTCCTCAAGTGCATATAGTTAAGAGAAGAACTAATCAAAGTCAATAATTCATTGTATGTTTTCTGATGGTCATAATGGAGCTAACAAATATGATTTCTGAATTTCATTTGCTAGTTAGTAAAGTAAAGTATGCTTATAATGAACCTCCTGGCAGGAAACTAATAAAGCAATAAAGTTGACCTTGATAAATACTGACTTTTCTCTGCATAGGACATTGTGAGTGACCCAAAGTTCTTTGATGCCGGTGCCAGCGCAGATGACTTTGCCCAGGGGTCACTGGGAAACTGCTGGTTTGTTGCAGCATGTGCTTGTATAGCGGAAGACAAATCTCTTCTTAAAAAGGTAACAGTGAGGTACAGATTAACAGGGCTAGTTCCCATATATAGGCACACATAATATTTTTACATATTTTTATAAATATCCTTAAGCTAACATTAGAGTAAGTCATCAGGAACAATTGTTATTCTTAAGATTGATAACCAAGATTGGTAACCATGAACATAATTTATTTGTAGATAGTACCAGACTTTGAGGATCAAGAATGGTCTAAGGACAACAAGTATGCTGGTATATTTCACTTCTGCTTCTGGCAGATGGGAGAATGGATCGATGTAGTCATTGATGATCGGCTGCCGACAAGGAACGGGGAACTTGTTTATGTACAGTCTCGCAGCAAAAATGAGTTCTGGTCAGCTCTCCTGGAGAAAGCATATGCAAAGTAAGTCATTCTGCATTTTATGATTTACAGTTCATAATGTTGTTGTATCTTAAAATGTACACCTGACTAGATGTTTATCTTGTGTAAGACATAGTGCTGTGTTCAAGTTTCATAGCAGCGAGTCCAACGCCTTGGCTAGATGATATCTAAGTCCATGAAACACACTGTATGAATGAATGCTTGCTAAAGCTAGGCTAGCAAACCATTCAAACTCTGAATAGATCTATAAAGCTGCTATGATATTGCATACAGCCCTGTACAGTCTTGGATGCATTGCAGTTAAAAGCACTTTCAGTAACCCAAATATGAAAGTCATTATTATGGACTATGTTAACATAAACCTACAGCCAAAAAAAACACATAAAGAAGATTTCTGTGGAAATGTATTTTCTTTGTGATTATCATTGTTAACTCTGTGGTCTTGTATAAGATTGAGAGTGATAACTTAATACATTTTATTTGCAGGATTTTTGGGGATTACGAGTCACTGAAGGGTGGTCAGGCTAAAGATGCTATGGTGGACATGACGGGGGGAGTCGGGGAGGCCCTGGAGCTGAGAGAATACACCAAGACCGAGGAGGATAAACTCAAACTGTTTAAAATCCTCAGGAAATGCAAGGAGCATCACTCCCTCATCAGTGCTGCTATTCCGGTATGTCAGCAAATACATTGTATAATGATATTTTTTTACAGGGCTAATTAAATTTTACCAGTTTATGGAAGTTTTCCTAACCCAATGTTATTTAAATATTAATGATATTTAATTTTTGCATTGTCAAGATAATTATTAATAAAGTCAATGTTATAATATTTATGGTCACTAAATTTTCCCATTATACTGATTAGTTTTTCCATTTCCAGGTGACTAGTGCTAGTGATATGGAGGCTCAGTTGTCATGTGGTCTCGTCAAAGGTCATGCATACAGTGTCACTGCTGTGAAGAAAGTCAGGCTGGGGAAGGGCTTAATGGCTCATTTCAACCAAGAGAAAATACTCATGATTCGATGCCGGAATCCCTGGGGTGGAACAGAGTGGAAGGGTGCATGGAGTGATGGGTACGTAATGTTTACTGCCCGAGGATATCCCAATTGAAGGGTGAATGGAGTGATGGGTAAGTAATGGTTACTGTCCAAGGGGGTCCAAATGAAAGGGTGCATGGAGTGATGGGTAAGTACAGTGTAATAGATACTTCCCAAAGGTGTCCAAATGAAAGAGTGCATGGAGTGATGGGTAAGTAATAGATACTGTCTGACAGGGTCCGAATGGAAAGGTGCATGGAATGATGGGTAAGTAATGGTTACTGACCAAGGGGGTCCGAATGGAAAGGTGCATGGAATGATGGGTAAGTTATGGTTACTGTCTGAGGGGGTCCAAATGAAAGGGTGCATGAAGTGATGGGTAAGAGTAATGGTTACTGACCGAGGTGGTCCAAATGGAAGGGTGCATGGAATGATGGGTAAGTAATGTTTACTGTCCTCTTTAGAACTTGTCGTGAAAATCTTTATTTTTTACAATTTTATTACTACTGTCCATTTTGGTAATATTGCTATCAAAGGAGGGGTTTAATTAAGCATCAAGAACTGTAGGCTTTAAATTGTTCATTACACAACCCAAAATTTTTAAAACTTGTAGAAATTATAACTCATACAGAAATAAGAGAATTAAACTCATATTCTTTCAGGTCTCCAGAATGGCAGAAAGTCAGTTCCAGTGAGAAAAAAGACATGGGTCTGACATTTGATGAAGATGGGGATTTCTGGTAGGTTATAATTGTTGGAAAAAAAGAAATAAAGGAAAACTGAAAAATATTTGGTATTCTATAACTTAAGTGAAATGTGTACTATTTAAAATTAAGTTCACATGTAAAAGCATATTCTCAAGTTTAAATGCATTCCATTAGTAAATGAAGCCTAGATATCTCTCACATTAACAGGATGACTTTCGATGACTTTCTGCGGTACTTTACATCTATGGATATTTGTCACATTGTAAACACATCCCTGGTGTCTTTCCACAAAACCTGGAAGGAGGGTAAAGCTTTTGGAGAGTGGAAGAAAGACCGGTGTGGAGGCTGCCCTAATTACCAATCATTTCTAAAAAATCCTCAGGTATGAAGGCCAGAGGAAACTCTGACAAAAATTTGAATCCTCTAGCTAATATCCCTGTTAGTAGATTGAACATTCGTATGGTTTTAATTTTGCAAAAAAAAAATTGTTTAAATTAACCTTGTATATGTTAGTAATTGGAGACATCATATTATTTTCATAATGTGAAGGGTGTCAGAAAAAGATTAATTAAGAATTTAATTTTCAGTTTATATTTGATGTTGATATGGAGGAAGATGAAGTAATGGTGTCACTTGAGCAGTGGGACAAAAGGATTGATCGGGAACTGGGCAAGGAAAATGATACCATAGGCTTCTTTATTATGAAGGTGAATATGTATGTCCTTGAGCAATATGACTAGGAAAGTTAATTCTCTTAAAAATGTTTTGAAAGTGAATTTTTTTCAGATCATGCATTAATACAATAAAATATCTTTTATTAATCAGTGATACTATTACCAGGTTTTTCTTTTCAACAAGAAGTATATTTCTACTGATTTCATTGGGTAAATTTTATTCCTGTCTGATAGGCAGATGTAAACAGGAAGTATCGCATGCATGATAAATTGGAGAAAGTGCATTCTGGGACATACAGCAATGCCAGGAACCAATTTTCTCGATTGACACTGCAGCATGGACGATACTGCGTCATACCTTCTACATTTGAACCCAACTGCCCTGGTAGATTTCTGCTGAGAGTTTACGCTGATAAAAGCCCAGACCTCAAGTGAGTTCTATATCAGTCTACATATCAGGGAAGGAGAGGGAGTCTGGTTATGTTCAAACCAGAAAAAAATTTACATTACTGTGAAATTTCAAAACAAAAATGCTTCTACAGTTTTAGTCTGATTTCATTTAAACTTTCTACATGAAAAGACCACACATCTATGTTTCCGTTTTGGTTTGACCTATGTAGTAAATAAAAGTAGAAATTTCTGTGAAACTTTTTCGAAATGCTAAGTATTCTTCCTGGTTTATGTAAATCTTGGTACATAAGAACATTGCACAACGATAAATAATTCTGCAATTCAGAAATTTCTTGAAAATTCTTTTTAAAGGCAACTCCTCCAACAGTTTGGATATGATTGCAATTAAACTTGCTACAAAGAGTAACTAATGACATTATTCTATTCACTTCTGTTGCATTGGTTTGAAGTCCATGTTAATTTTCATAGTTGATAATTTGGCTAACAACATAGTTATGCCTGAATTATTCATACGGAAACTCAATGAAATGAACAAATTACTCTTTTTAGGGAACTGTACTTAGATGAGCCTCCACCACCAAGTTCTGGTTTTCTGGGCATTGGATCAAAGAAACCTAAAGTGGCCGCCACACAGATAATGCTCCTCAAAGCTGAGGGACTGGAGGTCCAGGACAAAGATGGGTGTAAGTCTCACATGTCTAGAATTCCCTCAGTTATAGTGAATTCTTATCTTTTAATAATGATATTAAAGAGGCCTGGACCTAAAGTCATAATACCTAAGTTTGATGTTTGATTGCTGTGAAAGCAATAGGATACCCAATTTTATGGACAAACTTACCCAATAGTTACTGATCTTTGTTTTAACATTTTGTAGTTTCTGACCCCTACATCGTGGTCTTTTGTGAGAAGAAGAAGGCCACGACCCGAGTGATAAGAAACAACATCAACCCAGAATTTAACGAGCGTGTGACGTTCTACCACAGGAAGCCTGATGAAGATATTACGATTGAGGTCAGTCCCTATAATACAATAACGTACTCCAAATTAATACAATAACTTACTTCAAACAGTGTATTTTATCTATAGGGTGAATTGTTGTCAAATGAATAACCCCATTTCAATGATAAATGTCCATCCATGTGTCATTTTAGGGATTTTATTTTGTAAGAAAACATACATGTAAATTTCATACGGGGTTAAGATAAGTTGTTTTCATGGTATGAGGAGACTTGCGATTTCATATCCTTCACAAAATAAATATTTTATATGTGTAACACCTAAAAAAAAGCACAAAATCAAAAACCTAAAAACTGTGAAACATTAACCTCATGAAAAAAATGTGATTTCATAGTGGATAAGGAAAGAGGTTCATTTTGTTTGCATCTTTTTTGTGGTTGATTTTACATTTTGTTCTGCAGATTTGGAACTTGAATATGATGAGGGATCGTTTCATGGCAATGTGTACCATAAAGATGTCTGAAAGGTCAAAGTTCGATGGCCACCGTGTCTTTCAGTATGAACTTTTCGGCAAAGATAAAGAGGCATCTGTGAGGAAACCTGGCATGCTGTGGCTACGGATTTTGCACACCACAGACATGACAAGGGTGTAATCTGCTCCCCCAAACACTAGTCCTTAACGAATATTAATCGATATTAGCTTATGCCTTTAATTCCTGATGATCTCAAAATCAGGTACTTGTATCAGTGATATGGTGCATATCAGGCCAGCTGTAGAGTTAAAGGTTTAAGATTTTCATTGCTTTCTATGATTATTTATGTACACTTTAAATTGATAATCACTCAGGCTCTGTGTTCAGAAATAATTTGTTGAAATTTGTAAGGAAAAATTTTAAAAGATGTGCCTTTAAAATTGTCTCAGACAATCACATTTTTATATGAATGTGTTTCTACATGAACAATATATTGTTGAGTCTTGCTTAAGTTATTTTCTAATGAAAGGTTGTGTAAAAATTGTTCTTTTGAATTGAAGTTCATTGGCATTTACCAGTACTTTATGTAAGTATGTGTTAATCTTCTGTTCTACTTCTAGATGTAAATTACATTGAATTGGAAATGTGGAACAAATTTATATTTTTTACATGATTTTGTATATTAAACATAAATGTGTACAATTGAACAAAATGTTTTTTGGAATGTTATTAATAACATGCAACTATTTTTATATTTATTGATATACATATTGTATGTTTAGATACTTTAAAGGCAAATAAGTTTGTATACAAGCATCAACCTTTACATTGAAGAGACAACTGAGTCACACAAAACTGTGATAAAATACTGCCAGCAGGGGCATTTCTGAATATTGTCCAAATATGATAAAAGTACCACACCTTATATGAACAATGTATACACTTTTTTCACTGATACATAAACTAGCAATATTTACTTGCTACTATTGCTATTTTGTAACTTTAATACTTATGCTATATTTATTTTATATAATACCCTTATTTTGAATGTGTTTTTGTACTAGAATTGTACAGTGGCATTTGAAAAAGTTCTCTATTTATATTTTAAATTATTCTTAATTCTCAGTAGAGAAAGTAGTTTTTTGTACTGGTAGTTTTATTTCAGCTATGTCCCACAGAAATGGTTGTGCAAGGTATGACTAACCAGTTTATATAACATTTTTTGAATAAGTTTACTTATTATGTCACAAATGTAAAAAGTTTCACTGTTAACTCTGAAAAATGCTGAATCACACTGGAAACAGTTACATCACCTGATGGGAGCAGTTAAAACAACCCCTCTATCACGTTCACACAATAACACATTTTAGCTCGGGTTTGAGATTTTGTGATGTCGGTCACTAAGCAAACGTAAACAATGGAGCATAATTCTTAACGTCATGAAGGCATTTCTGGATTATTTGCTTAAGGACAGATGAGACGTTCCTTGATAATATATAATTTTTTCCAAGAATTTGTCACTTAAGTATTCCTACTGTAATACGTTTACTCACAAAAAATTAATGTACCTTACCAGGCATTTGTGCAAGATAGCAGAGGGTAGTGTTTCTTAATCCTTTTGGGAAAAAAATAAACTTCTTTAAAATCAATTTTTTAGTGTTGTATTTTGAAAGCATTTAGAAACTGGTTTAAAAATTAGAATGTAAATTAAAATATTGAATATTTTTGATACTTTTCAAAAATTTACAAAACACATAGCTGAGGAACGTATTGTCTGACCTTAAACTTTAACGATTTTTGAATTCTGAAAAGTTGTATAACTTATTACACATAGCATTTCTTATCTTGCTTTAATATACTCTAGTCATTCTATTGGCTAACATAAAGCTTATACTTGTTAGTTTCATTGTTTTTGACATATAATAAAATATAAAAAACTATTTCTAGACCTGTGGAGATCATTTTGTTTTAGTTAGACCAACTATTTAAATATAGGAAACAAGCCAAAGAGCCTAGAAATATTCTTCTGGTTCGTTGCACTATACTGTCAACATGATTTATTTATTGGTTAACAAGACCAAAGACATATCAGCAGACAAGTGTTGATGAACCTAAGCCTTAAAGTATCCAAGAATTATAGATCTGACAATGAAGATGGATGTAATGCAAGTCACTAGGTTGATCCATCCTTGTGCCACCAAGACAAAATAGTGTCCTAATATGATGCATAGAAATTAAAGATTTCTTTGAAAAAAAAAAATGTCCTGCCTCAAGATAGAAGTCACTGGCCTACTTTAAAGAAAATAACAAAATTGATCCTAGACTTCACAGTGTCAAGATCTGCATCTTAAAGGTGCTTAGACACAGATTTGAAGTTAAATATTTTCTCAATTCTTCTTTATAGTATTTATTGCAATAGCATCTTACACGAAAATATAATAAAAATCTTTTTTCATCTTGAAGTTAATGAAACTTTAAATTTCTAGACGGGTTTGATTGCCACATCCTTGAACTCTCACAAATTTTTTTCTCAATGCTGAAGAAAAGTGGCAATTTTGTTGTGTATTAATGAAAAATATTTAAAAAAAAACTTTAATCCAGAACAAGAGATGTTTGTAAAACACTTATGCCCCCCTCCCCCCAAACTGGAATTTTTCTAAGTCCAAAAGACCACAACTCTGTCAAAAATGGTGCGATTGTACCCAAAAAAGCACTTGACCAAGATATTTATCTGATAAATCTTTTTACCAAATTTCATCTCAGTTTGTGCAACCTTTGCAAAGAAAATGAACGGAAACCACATATAACTGGACTTTTTATAAGTCCACTGGACATCTCTGTGAAAAATGGTGCGATTGTACCCAAAACAGAACTTGGCCTAGAAATACATCTGATAAATCTGTGCGCTACATTTCATTTCAGTATGTGCAATTGTTGGGAAGAAAATGAACAGAAACTGCAAATAATTAAAAATTTTCCAAGTCCCAGGGGCATAACTCTGTCAAAAATGGCGCGATTGTACCCAAAACAGAACTTGACCTAGATATTTATGTGATATACCTGTATACCAAATTTCATTTCAGTATGTGCAATGGTTGCGAAGAAAATGAACGGAAACCAAGTGGACCGACAGACAGCAGCAAAGCAATATGCCCTCCCTTCTTCGAAAGGGGGCATAAAAATAATTGTATTCAGAGAAGAAATGTTTGAAAGCAAAACCCTTCACAAGTATCGTCATTCTGCACTTAGTGTTGTGTACAGTCTAGCAAATTGAATACACCCTGTGAAACTTACAGTTTTTGTAAACAAGGCACAAGCTCCCTTATTGTTAATATTTACAAATCACCAGGGTGTGTTCCATTGTTATTAAATCTGCACACATCACTGAGCACTGACAGAAAATAGACTGGTGTATGTTTTGCTTTTGAACATTTCTACTCTGAATGTTTTGGATTATAGTTTTAATATTTTTCATAAATACACAACAAGATTGCCATATTTCTCAAGTATTAAGAATAAAAAAATTAAAATTTGTGAAAAAGTAATGATGTGTCAATCAAACCCATCCAGAAATTCGAAGTTTCAATAACTTTTAAATGAAATAAGATTTTGATTATATTTTCATGTGAAATGTTATTGCAATATATAAGTTGTGATATTATGCAGAAAATTTGAGAAAATATTGACTTCAAATCTGCGTCTATGCACCTTTAAACTGAAAATGGATGTAGGTCACAGTATCCTACTTTGAAACTGATATGTTGAACTTTAATAATCTTCTAATCGAATTACAGCATATATCCCGCATATTTATAACCTCGGGTGAGCTACAGGTTACGTGTATCTCTAATAACAACAAAGTAGATGACAAGTTGACACAAATATATTTTTTTCTACAGACATCAACATTTAAATCAAAGGCCTGAAGGGCCTGCGAGTTGACTCGCTCGTGTTAATTTAGCTTTTTCATACATCTGGACACCATACCTTATATTCAGTTTATTTTGCATCTGAAGCGCTTGAATATTATAAGTCTCCATGTTCGGTTCAAAAATAAAATGTGTATTGCATTTCCTTTATATATACAGGTTAGCACTAAATGGGCTTCCGTACATATTATATACTGTGAAAAGCAGCACTGCAAACCTGGATTCTATAACACACTAGCTGCAGTGGTCAGTGTTATGGAGTAATTAGTTTAGATTCCCACAGCAAATCTGGGTTCTATATTTCAAGCACACTATAGCTGCAGCTAATAAGAACAGCAGGTGTTTGTGTTAGGGAGTATTCTAGGTCAATTGTAAATAAACTTCAGATGGGAAGATTAGATCCGCCTAACATACTTGAACATATATTCATACGCAGTAATTGTACATTGTACAGATATTTAACATGTTTAATCAAAAATTTCTTTAAAAGCATGAAGACATAAATAATGTGACAGTATGAAATTTTCTACAGCTTTTACATCTTAAGTTTATACAATCACTCAAGCAAAAGCAATTTTTGCTAGAACTTTAATATTTGGCGTATGGATCACCTTGATGAATGCGTGAAAAATTTTACAGCTCTGAAACGCCGGTGTTAACAAACTCAAAAATGATGAAAGATATGAAAATAGAACAGGAGATTTAAGATACAGAGCAATGAAACAGTCTTGCTAAACAAATGTAAATATTAGTCATGAGGAGAAATTAATGAATATTACAAAAACACAGAACAAATACTCTCATCTTACTTTTTGTCCATCCAATAAATAATCACTAAAATAACTTGGTCAAAGAGACAATGTACAATGAATCTCTCCAACAATGGCAAAACTATGACCAGCAAATGTAAATGTTGAAATTTTTTTAAATTAATGTCAATGCTAAAAATTGTTCATTTAAAACTTAAAACAGACAATTTGCAATGAAACGATTCTTTTCTTAGAAGTCACTGTCTTCTGACGAATCTCCGAAGTTGTACTTGACTGAGGTCTTTGTTCGTCCCCCAGCTCTTGCGCGCGGTGCCACATCTACATGCATGTCCTCCTCCAACAGGAAATCATCATCATCAGTCTCCGACTTCTTCTTCTACAAAATATAAAATACTTTGTAATTTTTTTTTTTTTATCAATTTATGATTTGTGACAAAAAACTTAGTCATTTATGTCCATAAATACCCTGTCCAGTGGAAAACATATGCTAGAAAGTCCACAACACTTGCAAGTCACTTTTGCCCCACTGTTCTTCATCAGCAAAGCAATATATTCAGTTATGGCAATATCTTTTTTTCAATATATAAAATTGTATCATTTTTGAAGTTTTTAAAATTGGGGTGGGGGCCAAAAATTATATTTTTACTGTCAACATTTCCCAATCACTTGGGTTTTTCAGAAAAAGTACCAAGTCACTTCAAGTATTTTATTGATCTAAGAGTTAGTTACACTTTGTTTAATATTAGGGATGAAAATTTTTCTGCTCATTTTTAATGGTAGAACTAACCAGCAGCCTAATAGAGGACTGATTACATCGAAAAATTGGAGTTATGATATCTTTATAAGATAAAAGTATCTCCCCCTGAAAGAGGTTGTGGCCCTTCATTTGTATAAATTCAAATCCCCTTCATCCAAGGATGTTCTGTGAAAAGTGAAATTGGCTTGTTGGTTTTCGAGAAGATGAAAATGTGTAAAGCATTACAGAGAGGACAAGACAATGTAAACAAGGCAGATGGACCTCAGACACTTTTGGATCAGAAAAGCTAAACAAATTTCTTACGTTTATTCATCTACATATATAAAATTAATAAAATATGATAGAAGCAATATTATAGACGTTGTTTAAAAAATATTATCTGCAAATTTATAAGAAATGAGCTTACTGCAAAGTGGGGAATAAGGGACAGACAAATGACATGATGAGCACTGCTATACATGTATTAATATACATGAACATGATATAAAACCTTGCACCACCTCAATTTTTCTTTACCTTTTTCCCTCCTGCTTTCTTGGGCAGGAAGTCTTCCTCTGAGAAATCACTATCTGAGAAATTCTTGGCTGGTCTTTTCTTGGTTGTCTTCTTCGGTTTGCTTTCATCATCAGATTCATCTGTGGACTTTTTCTTGGGTTTAGCTGCCTTCTTGGGCTTAGCTTCCTTGGGTGGTTTTTCTGTGTGAAAGATTGAAGATAAGTGAATTCCAAATTATATCTTAGTTTCAGTTAACAGAGGTGGACAAATATCAAGGTCAGTGTTTCATAAATAAAGCTTGTCCAATGACCTAACATCACCTCATTGACAGAATTAAATAAAGAATTCTATTACCAAAAATTTTTCATCAAAACTACTAACAACAGCTTCTAATTGCATTTGTTAACTTTTTCAAGGCATACAACTTAATTTGTGATTAAAAAAAACCCTGAAGAAACAACATCCCTTTCCAAATTAATATCAAGATAATCAATCCAAAAGGCTCATTGAAAAGTTAGTAAATATCCACATCAGGTGACTCAATTGTGAAAGTAACCGATATTTGTAATCAGTCCTCCACAAATGGCACGATAAATCACAGTTGTTGGCCTCAACATGCAAGAGGTAGGAGGAAACTGAACAGAATTCATCTTCAGACCTGACATAACGACGTCTTCCTCGTCGTCTGAGATCGTGAGGACAGGCTTCTTTGTGTTTAACAATTTTCTCTGTTTTGGTTTGGCCTCGTCATTAGACTTAAATGCTTGTGCTATAGATGGCTGTTTGGGGTCCGCTAAAGCAGAACAGTAGCACACATTGGAATAACCAGAGTTAAATTCAGAGAATTCAGCTAGGTCAAGACCACAGAAACTGAAGATAAGTTTTTCTGTACATCCTATATCTAATCTTGAAAGTCGTTTTATTATACCTAATATCTCAAACACCTGACTGTAAAAGTATGACATCACATCTTACTAAACAAAGGTCAAAAGAAAGAATCGGCCAGTCTTAGCCATGAATTGTATTTTGAAAAGTTAAGCATAAAAAATATTTGATGGTGTGAAGTACTCAAATAGATGGAAAGCAAAATTGTAGACAGATCTTGAACACATTGTTTAAACTTGAGCATAAAGTGTGGCATTCATAAAGCTAACATATGCTGCTGATTCTTTGTTTTTTGGGGTACCTTTTTTGGCTGCTGGCTTTTTCTTTGCTGCAGGTTTCTTGGTGGCTGCTTTAGGCTCGGCTATTGTCTTAAAAATATCATTATCCACCTTGTCATCCTCGTCATCACTAACCACCGTGGGAGCTGAATCTAAAACAGAATCACAGGAATCCATTCACAAAATAGTATCTACAAACACGGTAAAGGAAGGACATTACACCATTGCAGAATATTACATTAAGTACTGTTATTCTTAAATCCAAAGATTCAGGCCATTAAAAATTCTATTTTCCCTGGAAAGTACAATTTATTTGAAATTTTTAATCTCTGCATAAGATGACTTTTCTTTGAAATACATGTACATCAATTTTACATTATATCATTAGATATTATATTAGATTAGACCTACAGATACATGAGAAAGGTGACCTTCTGACCTTGTGAAGTGGCTGTCTTCCATGTCAGGGCATCCGACTTCTGAGATTCTCCCTCTCCTTCATCCGAGGAATCCAGGAACTCCATAGCAGTCCTACCCCAACACAGGACACAATGAAATAATTACACAGACATCATCACATCTAGTGATAATAACGGTGATAATTGATGTCAAAGGATGACTAATACATAAGCTGATTTTCTTCATCTTACAAAACATTATAAATACATGTCTTATTGTAGGCTGTATTTCACACTCTTATAAAACCTTATAGTGCCATTAATATACATTTCAGTGCCTTGCTAAACCTTACTTTGCTTCATTTCATTACATTACACAAGCTTACTTCTTGGATTTAGTTTTCTTAATTGCCTTGATGGGTGAGTGGTCATCTTCTATGACAGGATTTGACCTGTGAAAAGATTATTCAATCTATTAACACTGTTGAATATTGTTTTACATAATAATATTAAATTTCAATTTACAGTATCATAATGTTGAAGTCAGAGCTTGTCGTTATTATATTGCATTTAGCTCTGCCATTACAACATCTAGCTATGAAAAAAATTAAGAATTTAAAAAATAAAAGCAAGATAATATCGTAAATCAGGGAATTTTACTGTATATAAAAATTCAGCAAATTTCAGTGTTCACTGCATTCACAAAAATATTTTTCTAAAAAATAAATCAACAACAAAAACTGTAAACAAAGCAATGGCCATTTTTGGAAACCTGATTATGCTACAAGCCGTGAAAATTTGTGTTTGGAGAATTAACTACATTTAATATTGTCCAATGATTTAACAGACAGTATGTTGTATTATATCCCCGAGAAAAAGAGCCAGTGTTTTATCAAACAAAAAATCCATAGCACGACTGACTGTACATCTGTAACTTATTAACCAGTTTTGAAATATTTAGGCTCTTTTTAATGTTAGCGCTAATGACAATTTTAATAAAGTGCCCCGCCACAGCATGATATGCCCGTCAAATACTGTTCAATAATCATAAATTGGTTAGGGTGCAAGAAAATCAGGTAACCTTGATTAACAGATTGGCACAGATTTCAATGATCTAATTTCCATTTCTTATCATACATCTCTAAGAGACTTACAGTGTAGGGATTGATTAATATAACAAATACATCATATAACTCTAAATTGGTTGGTTAGAGCATGACAAATATCCATCTGCAGCTTACTTGAACTTAAATTGTTTATTGCATATTTTTATGAAATAATGGAAATGCTACAGTTTAATAAAAAAAATCAAACATAAATTATAATAATTCTTCAGACTATAAAATTCTAAGTGAGACATGACTGCAACATGTTGCAAATATATAACCAGAAGTCTCTGTCGAGACTGAAGCTCTACTGGTTTGTACTTATAGCAAAGGTAGAGAAAAGTTCTTAAGCAGTTGGGAATTGAAACATTACAACAGCAATAGAAAAATAATCATCCTTGATTAAGTCTCTTTATGTTCTTAGTGTAGTCTACTTGCATGCCACATTATATTATAATCAGACTTAAACTGTATTTGGAGTAGCATTTTGAGAGTATTTAACAGAAATTTCTATATTAAGTTACCAAAGCAAAAATGTTCATCAAAGTCAAAAACTGATAAACAAAGTTGTGTATCTTAGTGTAGTCTACTTGTGTGCCAAGTTATATTGAAATCAGACCAAAACTGTAGGAGGAGTTGCATTTTGAAAGAATTTCACAGAAATTTCTATTTTTAGTAACAACGACAACACCTTTCATCGAAATCAAAAACCGATACACAGTCTTATGTATCTTAGTGTAGTCTACTTATATGCCAAGTTATATTGAAATCAGACCAAAACTGTACGAGGAGTAGCATTTTGAAAGAATTTCACAGAAATTTCTATTTTTAGTAACAACGACAACACCTTTCATCGAAATCAAAAACCGATACACAGTCTTATGTATCTTAGTGTAGTCTACTTATATGCCAAGTTATATTGAAATCAGACCAAAACTGTACGAGGAGTAGCATTTTGAAAGAATTTCACAGAAATTTCTATTTTTAGTAACAACGGCAACACGTTCATCGAAATCAAAAACCGATACACAGAATTATGTATCTTAGTGTTGTCTACTTGTATGCCAAGTTATATTGAAATCAGACCAAAACTGTACGAGGAGTAGCATTTTGAAAGAATTTCACAGAAATTTCTATTTTTAGTAACAACGGCAACACCGTTCATCGAAATCAAAAAACGATACACAGTATTATGTGTCTTAGTGAAGTCTACTTGTGTATCAAGTAATATTGAAATCAGACCAAAACTGGAGGAGGAGTAGCATTTTGAAAGAATTTCACAGAAATTTCTATTTTTAGTAACCACGGCAACACCGTTCATCGAAATCAAAAACCAATAAACAGTCTTATGTATCTTAGTGTAGTCTACTTGTATGCCAAGTTATATTGAAATCAGACCAAAACTGTACGAGGAGTAGCATTTTGAAAGAATTTCACAGAAATTTCTATTTTTAGTAACAACGGCAACACCGCTCATCGAAATCTAAAACCGATACACAGAATTATGTATCTTAGTGTTGTTTACTTGTATGCCAAGTTATATTGAAATCGGACCAAAACTGTAGGAGGAGTAGCATTTTGAAAGAATTTCACAGAAATTTCTATTTTTAGTAACCACGGCAACACCATTAATCGAAATCAAAAACCGATACACAGAATTATGTATCTTAGTGTAGTCTACTTGTATGCCAAGTTATACTGAAATCAGACCAAAACTGAAGGAGGAGTAGCATTTTGAAAAATTGTTTACAGACAGACAGACGGACAGACAGACGGACGGACGCCGGACGCATTACTATCGCATAAGCTCTTCTGGTCTCTGACCAGTAGAGCTAAAAATTGAAATATATATTTTTTTTCAATGAACACATGTATAATTAGTTTTAATTATACTAGTATTATACAATACTAATTTAGTTTTAATCATACTTTAAAACATAAATTTGTTTTAATTACATTACACCAATTGAAAGATCTTTATCTGGACTAGCCATCAAGAACTCTTAATTAACACAAGCAACTATGAGGCCATTTCTTTTTGCCCAACTCCCAAGAGATAAATTAAGATAACAGCTGCATCAGATCTAGAGATGCTCTTAGCTACTGACAATAAACTCATTAATTTCTCTCTAATTTGACATGCAAGTTTCTGCTATCAAAATTCTTCTTGACCAGTGCTTGATAATTATGTCCATGGGACAAACTGAATTCCTCTCAAAGCATAAACATTTGTTACAGATTGCTGTTAAAGTATATGATGAAACCAGAAGTCTCTGTCGAGACTGAAGCTCTACTGGTTTGAACTTATAGCAAAGGAAGAGAAAAGTACTTAAGCAGCTGGGATTTGAAACTAAATAGAATAATGATCGTTGATAAAGTCTCTTTATGTTCTTAGTGTAGTCTACTTGTGTGCCAAGTTATACTGAAATCAGACCAAAACTGTAGGAGGAGTAGCATTTTGAAACAATTTTACAGACATTTCTATTTTTAGTAACCACGGCAACACCGTTCATCAAAATTAAAATTCGATATACAGAATTATGTATCTTAGTGTATTCTACTTATGTGCCAAGTTATATTGAAATCAGACCAAAACTGTAGGAGGAGTAGCATTTTGAAACAATTTTACAGATATTTCTATTTTTAGTAACCACGGCAACACCATTCATCGAAATCAAAAACCGATAAACAGAATTATGTATCTTAGTGTATTCTACTTGTGTGCCAAGTTATAATGAAATCAAACCAAAACTGTAGGAGGAGTAGCATTTTGAAAGAATTTCACAGAAATTTCTATTTTTAGTAACCACGGCAACACTGTTCATCAAAATCAAAAACCGATACACAGAATTATGTATCTTAGTGTATTCTACTTGTTTGCCAAGTAATACTGAAATCAGACCTAAACTGTAGGAGGAGTAGCATTTTGAAAGAATTTCACAGAAATTTCTATTTTTAGTAACCACGGCAACACCGTTCATCGAAATCAAAAACCGATACACAGAATTATGTATCTTAGTGTAGTCTACTTGTGTGCCAAGTTATAATGAAATCAAACCAAAACTGTAGGAGGAGTAGCATTTTGAAAGAATTTCACAGAAATTTCTATTTTTAGTAACCACGGCAACACCGTTCATCAAAATCAAAAACCAATACACAGAATTATGTATCTTAGTGTAATCTACTTGTGTGCCAATTATATTGAAATCAGACCAAAACTCTAGGAGGAGTAGCGTTTTGAAAGAATTTCACAGAAATTTCTATTTTTAGTAACCACGGCAACACCGTTCATCGAAATCAAAAACCGATATACAGAATTATGTATCTTAGTGTAGTCTACTTGTGTGCCAAGTTATATTGAAATTAGACCAAAACTGTAGGAGGAGTAGCATTTTGAAAAATTGTTTACGGACAGACGGACAGACGGACAGACAGACAGACGGACAGACGGACGGACGCCGGACGCATTAGTATCGCATAAGCTCTTCTGGTCTCTGACCAGTAGAGCTAAAAATAAGTTTTTACTTAATTTAACATTTTTTAATAAGGATACAACTATATTTTTACATTTTTTAGGATTATGAAATTTAAAATTTAAAACATTTAGTTTTTTTTCAAAAAATTCACTTAAATTAAAGGTCACAGTGACCTTGAAATAGGCCACGACACACCTTTTACTTTAGATGTACACTTTTGCCAAGTTTGAAAGCTCTAGGTCTCATAGTTTTCTAGATATGAACCGGACAGGATTTTTCCATATTTGGCTATAGCATCTTTATTAAAGGTCAGAGCGACCTACTTTTTGTGTGCGACACACCTTCTACCTAAGATGTATCAGCTGACAAAGTTTGATAACTCTAGGCCTTATAATATTAAAGTTATGAGCCAGACACGAGAAAAGCTAACAGACGGACGGACACGAAGCCTATAACATAATATGTCCCGTCTTAAGACGGGCGTATAAAAATTGGAAATGTAAAAATTAATTAACAGGTTTTTGACCCAGATTTGCAAAATAAAACTGACATAAAAACTTCCCTGATTTACGATAGTAAATGAATGTCTAGTTTCAAGGAAAATAAACTAGAACTGTCCAAACGGGACAAAATACCCCCCGCTGGGTTTTTCAGAAGTAAGTTTTTCCATAAGAAAGATATGTATCAAACATGAATTATGAAATTTTTCTTCCAGTGACCTTGAACTTCCCAAAATGACCTTGGATCAAGGTCATGACACACCCTTGGGTCATGGGCAATCTTTGTGTGAAATGAGAACCTACCAAGTTTATCCATAAGAAAGATATGAACTGGACAAAAATTATGAAATTTTTCTTCCAGTGACCTTGA